ATCATCAGGACAGCCCCTTGGGGTGGGGAGGGGACTTTGTATCTCCTGAGCTATGAATTCCTGAGTTTTGTTTTGGTGGGGTTCGGGGGAAGCAGTGGTGGCAGAGGATTGGGGTAAGGGGGGCGGTGAGTTTCCCACCATATAAAAATAGGGGATCAACTTGGATACTGAGAGGAAGCCGCACATCATGTGGAATTCAGTAGGCAGTGGCCGTTGATGTGGCCAACCCACTCTGGTCTCTGCATCCCTTTCCTTGAGGGGAGCCAGACCGAGGGCTGCGAGCCCCAGCATTAAAGTACTCTTCTACTCTTTCCACAGAAGCAGGAGGTCCCAGCAAAGTCTGATGTTTACTGTGAGGTGTGTGAATTCCTGGTGAAGGAGGTGACCAAGCTGATTGACAACAACAAGACTGAGGTGTGCTGTCCTCCTGGCAGGGGGAAGCCCTCTCCTGCCCCCTGAGCCAGAATGTCCCAGTGGGAACGGGCTTGGCCCAGCCTTGGCATGTGTGCAGTCACGTCCCATCTCGTGGAAGGCAGTCCTCACCAGTGGGACCTCTGGGCTGGTAGTGGGGGGAGGGGTGGCACTGTTGCTCGGCTTTGTGACTCGATAATTTTCTGGCGGTGGAAACGGCACCCATCATTGACTCATTTCCTGGCCATGTTAAGCATTTCAGAATCTCCTCCACCCTTGCCCAGCCTCCCATCTTCTCACAGGATCCTCTTGTGTTTCAGAAAGAAATACTCGACGCTTTTGATAAGATGTGCGCGAAGCTCCCGAAGTCCTTATCAGAAGAGTGCCAGGAGGTGGTGGACACGTACGGCAGCTCCATCCTGTCCATCCTGATGCAGGAGGTCAGCCCCGAGGTGGTGTGCAGCATGCTGCGCCTCTGCTCCGGCACGCGGCTGCCTGCACTGACTGGTGAGCGCTGGGCGTGGCGCGGGAGAGGATGGTGCCCCTCTTGGGTCGGGGAGGGCCCTGCCAGCCCTGAGCCCGCCGCCCTCTCGTGTAGTTCGCGTCACTCAGCCGAAGGACGGTGGCTTCTGCGAAGTGTGCAAGAAGCTCGTGGGTTATTTGGATCGCAACCTGGAGAAAAACAGCACCAAGGAAGAGATCCTGGCTGCTCTTGAGAAAGGCTGCAGCTTCCTGCCCGACCCTTACCAGAAGCAGGTATACCCGGGCTGGGCTGTGGTGGGCCAGCATGTCAGAACCTGATGGAGCATGCCAAGGCTGGTAATTTTCACGGAAAACCAGCTGTTTCTGTCTCTGGCCATGGAGTCCAATGAAGTTTTACTTGGAGGTGATTCATTGGCTTAAGATGAACCACTGGGGGAGGCCACCTGAAGTAGAGGCCAAATGTAGGTAGGGAGGCTGGGAAGGGAGGCCCCAGGACCCACGGGGCTGGGAATGCCAGGAGCTCTCCGGGAAGAGTGTTTCCAGGGCCTGCCTGGCCTTTTGTGTCCCACTGTGCTCAGACACCCCCAGAGCTGGACCTGTGCCCCTGTTTTCCTTTACAGTGTGATCAGTTCGTGGCGGAGTATGAGCCCGTGCTGATTGAGATCCTGGTGGAGGTGATGGACCCTTCCTTCGTGTGCTTGGTGAGCCTCACTGGGCGATGTGGGTCCTCTTGGGCAGCTGTAGCCTGGGGAGCTGCAGAGACCCGGAAGGGTTGCTGTGAGAAATGGCTGTGGGGTGGAGCCTCTGGGTTCCGCTGTGGGAGAGCAAGGCAGGCAGCCGGCTTCTTAAGCCCCTTCGCTTTCCTCAGCAACTCGGATGTTCTGAAAGAGTATGGTAGAGCTCTGATCCTCGCTCCTGGAAACTGTGATCATAGTTTTGAAAGAGAGAGGTTGGGCAGCTCTCATTCTCCGCTTTTTTTCCTCCTCACCATATAGAAAATTGGAGCGTGCCCCTCAGCCCATAAGCCCTTGTTGGGAACTGAGAAGTGTGTATGGGGCCCAAGCTACTGGTGCCAGAACGCAGAGACAGCAGCCCAGTGCAATGTGAGTAGCTCAGCAGACGGCACCACCAGCCTGTCTTGCCCTGGGGCAGCCTGTGTGAGAATCCTGCTTTAATGGGGAGTTGGTGGTCAGCTCTCCACCCTGCGTTTATGTCGTTGGAAAGCTGAGGCTCAGAGAGGTGGTTAGGCTCACTCATGGTCCGCTAGAAAAGGCAGGGTGAACTACATTCTTGGACTGAAGGGTGGGGTGGATTTTGGTTTTTAGTATTTTTGCTTCTGCCTTGTTACTTTTGTCTTCATTTCCTTTGTGACAGTGTCAGACTTGTACGGGGTCACTCCAGGGACTGCACAGGGTCTGTGGGATTCAATTGTCCAGGCCCTGTTCCCCAGGAACATGTTTGCCCTGGCTGGAGCCTTCACTCAAGGCCCTGAGAGCTGGTCCCTGCTCAGCCGCCCCAGGGCACTGTGGCCCTGGCCTGGCCTGGCAGCCACCATCTGGGTGACCTGTGCTGCTTCCCTGGGTGGGGATGTTTGGTCCGGTCCCTGTTGCTTAATGTTGCTTTGCACAACTTTTCCTTCCTTACTGCTTTCCTTGTGACATGTCAGTGGTGGTTTTGTCATATTGGACCTCTGCAGGGAGGGGCAGGGGGCCCCCATTCTGGCCATGTCCAGCTCTTTCCTCCAGCTAGGCTCCAGCCCATCTCCACTGCCAGCCCCATCCCACAGCTGGTTCTGCTGCTGTCCTGGGGAAATGTGGGCCCGAGCTGGTGTGTAGCTTCTCAAGGCCCGAGCTGGTGTGTAGCCCAACTCAGGCAAGGAGGTTCTGCATGGGGATCAGCATGCAGACTGCTAGCAGGACGCCGGGTGCCAGGTGTAAGTAGATGAAGGGTCCTGAGCCCTGCCTGCATGGGTACTCATCTGCAAACTACTGCAGGCATCTGCTGCCCTGGACATGTGCCTTAGAAGTTTCCAAAACTCTGGGCTGGGCGCAGTGGCTCACGCCTGTAATCCCAGCACTTTGGGAGGCTGAGGTGGGCAGATCATGAGGTCAGGAGTTCAAGACCAGCCTGATCAGTGTGGTGAAACCCTGTGTGTACTAAAAATACAAAATTTAGCCAGGTGTGGTGGCGCATACCTGTAATCCCGACTACTCAGGAGGCTGAGGCAGGAGAATTGCTTGAACCCAGGAGGCAGAGGTTGCAGTGAGCTGGGGTCATGCCACTGTACTGTGCCACTGTACAATGCCACCCAACCTGGGTGACAGAGTGAGACTCCAAAAAAAAAAAAGTTCCCAAAACTGATGGCCGCGTGTTCCCTGCTTTTAAGTGAGATCCTGTCCTGGGTCTTGAGCATCTGGTGCCATCAAGCTGACGTGAGAACAGGTCCTATTTTTGGGTGATACCTGATACACTGATGGGCTGGAAGGGAGTTTGTCCCTCTTAAGACTAAACCCAGCTTCCTCTCTCCTCTCAGGCTCTTGAGCATTGCAAACGCCATGTGTGGAACTAGGAGGAGGAATAGTTCATCCTGCAGAAGCCGCAGCACTCGTTTTTTTCTACTTGTGTGTCTGGGGGAATGAACGCACAGATCTGTTTGACTTTGTTATAAAAATAGGGCTGCCCCACCTCCCCTGTTTCTGTGTCCTTTATATGTAGCATTGCTGTCTGCAAGGGAGGCCCTAGGCCCTGGCAGGCAGAGCTGCTTCGGTGCCCCCTTTCTCTCTGTTAGACGGATGGTGATGCACTGGAGGCCTTGGAGCCCGCCCTTGCGTGGCACCTTCTGGAGGAGGACAGAGCTCTGCTGGCCTGAGCCACAGCTTCTTGACAGGAGGCCACCGACCCTCTTGGTTGGGGCCTTGTTCGACCGAGCCCTGACATGTGCTTGGGCACTGGTGGGCCCGGGCTTCTGAGGTGGCCTCCTGCCCTGCCAGGGACCCTCTCTGTTTCCTGGACCGCTCAGCTGTACAAAGCAGCAAAACAAAGGCAGTTTTATGTGTAAGATTAGAAGCCTGGAATAATTAGGCTTTTTAAATAATGTAATTCCTGCTGTAATAGCACAGGTACGTTGAAAACAGCTGCTGGTGGCTCGGGACATCAGTGGGGCCAAGGGTTCTCTGTCCCCAGGTCAACTGTGGTTTGGCTTTCCTGTCTTTCCTGGCGATGCCTTGCTTGGGGTTCTGTGGGTTTGGGTGGGAAGGGGGCCGTCTGCCTGAATGTGACCTGCTAGCTCTCGGAAGGCCCGGTGGGCCTGGCTTGTGTGTGTGTGGACAGTGGTGGCCGCGCTGTGCCTGCTCGTGTTGCCTGCGTGTCCCTGGCTGCTGAGGCGCTGCTTCAGCCTGCACCCCTCTCCCGTCTCATAGATTCTCCTTTTGACCTTTCTTTTGAAATAAACGTGGATGGCGAGCTCCTAGGCCTCTAGCTTCCTGGTGGAGGGCAGCATGCCGAGGGATCTGCTGGGTGTGGGGTGGGTGCTGTCTGCGGGCCACTTGGGCACTCAACGTTTCTGTCTGCTTCTGGTTGCCAGGAGAGCAAGCAAAGCCAGTAGGACATGCAGTTACTAGTAAATGGCTTTTGTGATTTTTGTTTTGCACTAAAGTTTCTGTGATTTAACAATAAAATTCTGTTAACCAGATCTGGTCCTAAGTGTTTCTGTCACTCCTCAGCCTGAAGAGTTTGTTCATCTCTGATTAGCTCTCAGCCCACAATACCTTTGGTGCCCAGCACTCCCGTGATCCCTCTTGGCCGGAGAACAAAAGCAAAGTGGATAAAGGAAAAGCCCACCTGTTCCTTCCCCAAGACTCAGGGCCAGCAGGAGGTCGGGCGCACCTGAAGGTCGGTCCTGCCCTTCACCCACCCGTCCCCATTCCCCAGAGGCCAGAGTCAGAGCGCATTGCCAGTTCCTTGAGAGCTGCCTTGCTTTTTAAACAGACCATTCCAGAAACTTGTAGTGAGTACCAGTTAAACAAAACCAAGGGGAAACTATTGAGGGAATAACTTAATTTTAAAAAAAAGAATACACACGAACACTCCACATTCAAAACCCAGGGGAACATCAGTCATTTCTCTTTATAAGCTGGGCACATTTGGGAAGCCAGTGAAATGTAGAGGATGTTTGTTCATTGACATTGACCTTCTTGTCCACGTGGGGATGCTGCCTCCACCTGGACATCCAGCAGGGGTATGGCAGAAATTCAGTGGGACTTGGGCTGAGGTCAGGGGTGTCCGGCCAGCAGAGGATGGCCAAGCTGGGCCTCCCTTGTTCCTGCTCAGCCGGAGGGGATGGTGCTGGGTGGAGCCAGGGGGGAGGAAGGTCTGCTCAGTCTGAGCCTCGCTGGTCCCCAGACTCCTGGGCCCCAGTGACCCTCCTTCCCTTGTCCTTAGACACTTAGCATTTTTGTTTGGTTTTCTTATAAAAATAACAGATTTTATGAAGGTAGAGGTCAGATGCTGAATTGAGCGTCTGGCAAAAGTGGGATCTGAGCAGCTGATGCGGGCTGCCAGGGCCAAGCCAAGGGTGTCCCTCATGGCTGGCCTTCAGAGGGACCTCCCCAAACGGCCCTGTCCCTGCCCTTGCTCCCACCCTGGGAGGGGGTGGTGGGTGGCGCTGCTCACACCCACGATGCTTCCCTGTCTAGTCACAGCTCCGTGATCTCCAGGGGGCTCTCCATGATCACATCGCGAAGTTTGTGCAGGGGCGTGGATTTGGCGGACTCTGTGCGGGCGTTGCGCTCGAAGGCAGTGACCTCAGCAGCAGTCAGTGTCTCCAGTGAGCGGCCCAGGGCCTTCTGGTCGTCCTCGGGCAGGCTGTTGAGGTCGGTGGCCAGCAGCGTGCCAGTGCTGCCGTGCACCACATGGATCCCATCAGGACCCTTGAGCTCCACTGGCGGCTTGTGGTGGAAGCGCAGGCTACCCTGCCCTGGGCTGTGGTCTCCTGGCTCCTCGTCCAGCTCAGTCTGGATCAGCTGCAAGAAGAGGCCAGGACCCCCACATGCTCAAGGCTGTGCCCAAGGGATTAGCAGGTGGACAGCCCCAGAGACCCACTGGCTATGTGGATGAACCCTGGGCTCCTACCGCAGCAGGCCTGTCAGACTCCGTTTCTCAAACTGCGTGCAAAGGGAAACTAAATGCTTAACGTGCTGCAGATGGGTTCTCAGGAGGATCGACTTCTTGTGAAAATCGTGTTATGTTTTTCTTGAGACAGAGTCTGGCTCTGCCACCTTGGCTGGAGTGCAGTGACATGATTTCAGCTCACTGCAACCTCCGTCTCCTGAGTTCAAGCCATTCTCCTGCCTCAGCCTCCCGAGTAGCTGGGATTACAGGCATGCCCTGTTGGCCAGGCTGGTCTGGAACCTCTCACCTCAAGTGATCCACCTGTCTCGGCCTTCCAAAGTGCTAGGATTACAGGTATGACCCACTGCACCTTTATTTATTTAGAGACACGATTTCTTTCTGTTATCCAGACTAGAATACAGCAACGTAATCATAGCTCACTGTAGCCTTGAACTCCTGGGCTTAAGCAATCTTTCTATTTCAGCTTCCCGAGTAGCTGGGACTATGGGCGTGTGCCATCACACCCAGCTGAGAATCTTTAATTTTATATATTAACTTTGGTGCTCTATAAAAATCCTTTAATACAACTGTGTTATCTGGGTTTGTTGCCAGTCGGCCTCAAGCAGATCACCTCTAATTGTGTCCAGGCAGTAAGTGTCAACAGGACAAATTGCAGAGGATAAATAGGTGGGGTGGAGACTCAGAACTGGCACTCTTCCTGCATGAGGGTATTCCACTTTAGTTTATTCCTGTTGAGCATGAGGGCCCAGCTGGAAATTCCTTTTCAGGGTAAGTCTGACTTTTGTAAGTGTTGACATAATAATTACAGGCAAACATATGTAGGCCTATTTGACCCTGACAGCCTCAGTTTCTCTTTTTTTTTTTTTAAGACAGAGTCTCATTCTGTCACCCAGTGGAGTATAGTGGCATGGTCTCAGTTCATTGCAACCTCCACCCCCTGAGTTCCAGTGATTCTCCTGCATCAGCCTCCAGATTTGCTGGGATTACAGGTGGGTGCCACCATGCCCAACTAATTTTTTGTCTTTTTAGTAGAGATGGGGTTTTGCCGGTTGGCTAGGCTGGTCTCGAACTCCTGACCTCAAGTGATACCCCTACCTTGGCCTCCCAAAGTGCTGGGATTACAGGTATGAGCCACCGCACCCAGCCAAGTTTCTTGAAATGACATCACCCACAAAGGTATGTTCTTGAGATCTTTCTCTAACCTGAGAAAGACTGCCTCAGAGCCCACCCCATTCCTATGAAAGTCCCCAAGAGCCCAGAGAGCAGAGCCTGCTGTCTGACTTCCTGGCCCCCACCCATTGCTGTCTTTGGTCCTGGCTGCAGAGCTCCAGAGACATAGAAAAAGACAGTAAGAAAGAGAGCATCCCCAGGCTGGGGCACAGCACACAGCTCCCGGCCGCCTGGCCGGCTACCTCAGAGATGGAGGAGTGGCAGGAGGAGGCTTTTTGCACCATCCGCTGTGCAAAGAGCTTTTTGAGCCGCAGGTAATCCTCCAGGACCACCTTCAGCAGAGAGCCCTGGGGAACGGAAAGGGTTAACCCCCACCAAGGCCCTCCCTGCCTGCCTCACCCCTCCCCTCGCCCCCGCTCCTTCTGAGATTCCTGGGTACAGAGACATCTGATCCTGGTGATCCTAGGGGAGAGGATCAGCAGCAGAGCCTGGAGAAGGTGGCCAACCTGAACATACATAGACTCACTCCTGAGCCCTGCCCTCAAGGCCACCGCAGGCTGGAGCAGCCTCCCCATGGTGCAGTTCTCGCCCCAGTGGAGGGTGGGTCTAGCTGAGCCTGGAGGTCTCCACTGCCCTGTGCTCTCTAGAGTGGGGTCCGACCTCAGCCAGGGGACTGAGTGCGGAGCCTGCAGGGAGGGCTCACCTTAATGGGCCCCTCCCGAATGATCTGGCCCAGCTTGGCAATGTTGTCATACTCCTGGATGGCGGCCCGCAGGTATCGGTCGTCATCAGGCTTGACGGCTGCTGGCTCACGTCCAAAAGTTCCCTGGGGAGAGGGGACATTAGCTGGAGCAGAGGCAGGCCCCACACACATGCACAAGGCAGGGGCCACCCCTCAAAGAACACAGCTCCAGGCCGGGTGCGGTGGCTCAAGCCTGTAATCCCAGCACTTTGGGAGGCCGAGGCGGGTGGATCACGAGGTCGAGAGATCGAGACCATCCTGGTCAACATGGTGAAACCCCGTCTCTACTAAAAATACAAAAAATTAGCTGGGCATGGTGGCACGTGCCTGTAATCCCAGCTACTCAGGAGGCTGAGGCAGGAGAATTGCTTGAACCCAGGAGGTGGAGGTTGCGGTGAGCCGAGATCGCACCATTGCACTCCAGCCTGGGTAACAAGAGTGAAACTCCGTCTCAAAAAAAAAAAAAAAAAAAAAAATTTGAGCCAGGCGCGGTGGCTCAAGCCTGTAATCCCAGCACTTTGGGAGGCCGAGGCGGGTGGATCACAAGGTCAAGAGATCGAGACCATCCTGGTCAACATGGTGAAACCCCGTCTCTACTAAGAATACAAAAAAGTAGCTGGGCATGGTGGCACATGCCTGTAATCCAAGCTACTCGGGAGGCTGAGGCAGGAGAATTGCCTGAACCCAGGAGGCAGAGGTTGCGGTGAGCCGAGATTATGCCATTGCACTCCAGCCTGGGTAACAAGAGCGAAACTCCGTCTCAAAAAAAAAAAAAAAAAAAAAAAAAAGAACACAGCTCCTGGGCCAGAGGTCACGAAGACCCAGCCCCTCCACCCTCACTCCTTGTGATGCCTGCCCACCCCTGGCCTGGCCCTGGCTCACGTGGGTACGCGTGGGGCTGTTCCACAGGTCGGCGATCTCGCTGAGGTTCTCTGGCAGGTCATCCTCATGCTCCGCCTGGGCAGCCAGCTCCAGATTCCGACAGAAGGGATCCAGCCACACGGGGTTGGCTCTGCAGTTGGGGAGGGGAAGCGTGGGGAAGGAGGGAAGGCTCGAATAGACAGGTGCCCTCCCAGCTTCACCCCACACCCTGCCCATTTCCCTGGCCCAGGTAGTCCTTTCACTGGCTGGGGTGTGAGGCCCCGGCACCTGTGGTGCGTGTTGCCACCCTAGCATCCCGCTAGAACCAGGACCACATGTCACTCTGGATCGCCTTTGGTGTGGAGGCTTCACCCTGCACCCACCACTCAAAGTCTGCACCCCTGGAACTTGAGGCCTATCAGGGTGGAGAGCCCCTCTCAGCCACGCGGTTTCTGAGGCTGGAGGGAGGGTGGCCTGCCCACCAGGGGGCGTCCACAGCCTAGGTTTCAGCCACCCCAGTGCTGGGAGATGGCAGCTCTCCCCAGCTGGGTCCTGGCAAGGCTCCCCAGAGGGGCAGGGCCAGGACACCACTCACCCGTCAAAGGAGTACTTGTTGGTGTTAGGCATGTCCATGATGTCGATGAAGCCACGATTCCCTGCAGGGACAAGGGGTGGGGCATGGAGGGGAGGGGAATAGCTGGAGGTAGGGGTGCTGTTGGGGGATGAGGGAGGGTAGGGTGTGGGGGTGTGGTCCCGAGCCCAATGAAGGGCTTGAGCCAGCCTTATGAGGCCCAGGTGGGCACTCCAGTCCCCCGGCCTGCTGCTGCTTCTCACCTATCCCCCCACCAAGGCCCTCACTCACCAGCTGAGCCAGCCACAATGGCCTTGAGCTTCCTTTTGTGTCTAGAGAGGAGAGAGGGGCTGGTGAGGGGGGCTGGGGCCAAGCTGGCATCTCAGACCCTGCCAGCCTCGTGGCCATCTGGGAGCAGGTGGTTGACCCTATGAGGGTAGGGGTGGGGGACACTCACACGGTCCTGTAGTACCAGTTCATGAGGACGAAGAGCATGGCGGCCAGGAATAGGAGGATGGCCAGGACGATGATCGCCATCTGCGGGAGCAGGGCCAGGGTGAGCCTGGGTGGCAGGGAGGGTGGGAGGGGCTGTGGGGCAAGGCCACCAGGTACCTGCAGGGCAGACATGTCGTCCGGCAGCCGGATGGAGATGGCAGGCTGCACATCCAGGACATTGTAGTTCCGGAAAAGATTCCGCAGCTGCTCCTTGTTCTCGTCAATCATCTGGATCACCCTGGGCGAGGGGCAGGGGTCTCAGCTCTCCTCCTCAGCCATTCCCCCCCATGACAATCTGCTCTGCTCCTGCCTCAAGTCCGCAAAGTTCATTACCCCCAAACATTGCAAGATTGAGGTCTACCCGGCCGGGACAGCTTTGTGTTTTGCAAGGTTCCTTGAATCTTCATGTAGTGATCCTGCTCCATCCTCACAGTGGATGCAATGCTCCCCTTATTTTTTTTTGAGATGAAGTCTTGCTCTGTCGCCTGGGCTGGAGTGCAGTAGCACAATCTCAGCTCACTGCAGTCTCCACCTCCAAGGTTCAGGCGATTCTCCTGCCTCAGCCTCCTGAGTAGCTAGGACTACAGGTGCATGCCACCATACCCGGCTAATTTTTGTATTTTTAGTAGAGATGGGGTTTTACCGTATTGGTCAGGCTAGTCTCGAACTCAAGTGATCCACCCAGCTCAGCCTCCCAAAGTGCAGGGATGACAGGTGTGAGCTACCACCCCCAGCCTGAATATTCCCATTTTACAGATGGGAAGAGGAAGGATCAAAGGGACGGAGTTGCTCATAGCCCCCAAACTCTGCCCTTTCTCCTAGCCCTGCCCACTTCTGAGAGATGGCCCCACACAGTGGGCCTGATGATATGGTCTGTGTCTCCTTTGGTGGGTCCCCTCCCCTACTCCAGGGCAGGGAGGCAAGCAGACAGACCGACAGTCCAAGCACAGACCCTCACTCACCGGTCCACGTCCAGGATGTGGTTGGTATCCCGGTTCACCACGTGGATGAGCAGCTCTGTCTGTGCAAAGTTCACCCGACCCTTCTTGTCCACATGGAACTAGATGGAAGGGGCTTTATAGGGTATGGCCACCATAGCAGGGGCCACAGGGATGGGCAAGCCTCTTCTCGGAGCCCCTTCTGCCCTTCCCTGTGAATAGACCCCTCACTACTGAATGTTTGCTGAGGACCAGGCACAGTACCAATCACTTCACCCACACTGGGTCAGGTACTATTTATTATTGGCCCCATTTTATGGAGGAGGAAACTGAGGCCCAGAAACCTGGGAGAACTTTGTCAAAGCCGCACTGCTAGGAAATGGCTAAGTGGGGCCTATACTGCCTTTCACGCCCTGGCCTTTGCACAATGTCCTGTCTCTCCTGTGGCCTGGCCTCCCCTTCTCCCTCCACTGCCCTGGCCCCAGGTGGTCCCAGGAGGCACCTGCACATCGTCAGTGTTGACAATGGCACCAGTGATGTTGGAGAGCAGGTGGATGAACTCCTCCTCAAAGCTGCGCACACGGTCGGGGATCTCATTAATGACGATCTTCACGCGCTGGTCGTCCCTCAGGATGTAGATGCCGATGATGGCCGTGTCGTTGTGGCCTGCCAGGTCTCGAGCCACAATGTCCACCACGAAGTAGCCGGGGCTGTAGGCCATGAAGAGGTCAAAGGTGCGCAGGATGCCGTCCACGCTCCCTGCAGGAAGCCCGAAGGCAGGGCACAGCTCAGGGACTCAGTGCCCCCGAATCCCCAGGAAGGGGCATGAGCCTCGGGGTAGGTGGGGACGTTTAGGGGAGGCAGCACAAGTGCCCACAGGGCCCAGTAGGGGGCAAAGGTGACAGGCGAGTGGGAATGATGGCCATCTGAAGTGGCAGTGACTTGGGTCTCGGCTCAGCCGGTTATCACGGGGGAGTGCAGATGACGAGTTTGTGACTGTTGTCCTATGCTAGCGTGCAATGGACCATGCACTCCAGAATTCCACAAACAAGGCCGAGCATAGTGGCTCATGCCTGTATTCTCAACACTGGGAGGCTGAGGTGGGTAGATCACTTGCGGCCAGGAGTCTGAGACCAGCCTGGCCAACATGATGAAACCCTATCTCTACTAAAAATACAAAAACTAGCTGGGCATGGTGGTGCATGCCCATAATTCCAGCTACTTGGGTGGCTACTGGGGAGGCTGAGGCAGGAGAATCACTTGAATTCAGGAGGCAGAGTGTGCAGTGAGCCGAGATCACACCACTGCACCCCAGCCTGGGCAACAGAGTTAAGACTCTATCGCCAAAAAACAAAACCCCAAAAAACCCATAGTAGAGATGGTCAGAGGTGGTACAGCACAGTCTTCTCTTAAAGGACAGTACATGGGGCTCAAAATTTGTCACTTCCTAGCTGTGTGACCTCAAGCAAGCTACTGAGCTTCTCTGTGTCTTGATTTATTACAGTAAGAGCAGTGAGAGCTCAGAGGACAAAGGAATGGTGTCTGCTTGCATAACTGGAGGAGGTGGCGCATGAACTAGACCTTGAAGGGTTGGGTAGGGATGTCCGAAGGCAGAGAAGGGGTCCATGCAATGAAGGCAGAGGGGTCAAAGGCTAGAGGAACTAGCTTTGGGAGAGAGCAGGCTGAGGGGGTGCTAAGCAGCTTAGCTAGGCTGGGCACAGGGCCCTTAAGGCCAGCAGGTGGATGTGGAATTGAAAGAGGGATTAGGCGGAAGATCTAGTGAGCCTGGAATGCCAGGCCACAGACAAGGCATACCGAGGAGGAGTCTTTAGATGGAGAAGGGGGACAGGGTTGGGGGTGGGAGTAAGGTAATGGGACACTCACGGGGCATCTTCTAGAGGCTGACCTGGAGAGTCTCAGCCACCCACACAGGTCAGTGCACAAGCAAACACGCACATCCACAGGTATAAATGTGCTCTTTGAATCCTGCTGCCCCGGTGCCCAGCACAATGCCTGACATAGGGGAGGGCGAGGTGTGCAACTGGAAAAACAGGCAGGTATTATGGGAAGGAGGATGGGAAGATGGGTAGATGGACAGATGAATGAAAGGAGGATGGATGGAAGGTACAGAGGATGGAAGGATAAAAGGAAGGAGGGATGAATGAAGAGATGGAGGGATGGACAGATATATGGGAGCAAAGATAGAAGTGTGGATACATGGACGGATGGATAAGTAATGAATAGATGAGAAGAATGAATGAAAAGAAGAAAGGGCTGGTTGGTAGATGTGAGGTGGATAGGTGGATACAATGGAGAACAGATTGCTGGAGAGGTGGATGAATAGGATTGGCATGGCTGGTTGGGGGGCCACCCATATCCTACGGTGCTCCCCCAGACCCTGTCTCCTCCAGATGGCAGTCCATGTAGTGACTGAGAGGTCACGGCTAGAGGCCACTCATGTGCTGCCAGGCCCCTACCCATGGTGAAGACCTGGCCCACATCTTCAGAGTCGTTGGCAAGGGCCCGGAAGTAGTGGATGGCCAGAATGCTGTAGAAGACAAGGCTGTTGTTGCCAATGTCTGCGTCCAGGGCCAGCACCCGGATCAACTCTGAGCCCACCTTGGCGTCGGTGGCCACCCCTGCAGGAACAGGCAGGCGGTGTAAGTGGCAGGGCAGGGGCCGCCCCCACCTCGTGCCCAGGCTCCAGTCCCCGCACCTGCAGTGTACTCAGCCTTGGTGAAGCGTGGCGGCTGGTCGTTGATGTCCTCTAGCACAACGCGCACCTCCTGCAGCGTGAGGTCAGCAACCAGGTCGAGGGCTGGGGAGGGTCCACGGGCAGGTGTCCAGCTGCGATTGCTGGAGGCCTTGACAATGAAGGAGAAGACGGCTTCTCGCTCCCGGTCCAGGTCCCGCAGCACCAGCAGACGCCCGTCGGGCTGCAGATGGAAGTTCTGCTCTTCGTTGCCGGCTGAGGGTGGGACCATGGCACAGGGTAAGGGGGCAGGGCCAGGGGTGGGGCATATTGGGGTCATCTCTAGCCCCAGGTACTCGGGGCACTAGCTCTGTTGGGCCCCACCTGCGATGAAGTAGTACACGATTGCGTTGGGGCCCTCATCTGCGTCCACGGCGCCCGTCACATTGCCCACGAGGGTGCCGCGTGGCGAGTGCTCAGGCACTGTCAGCTGCTGGTACTGGGGGCTGCCTTTCTGCAGGGGGAGGGGGATGTCATCACAGGGGCCAAGGGAAGGCCTGAGTTTCCAGTCCCTGCTTCGGGGCCCTGGGCAGTGACTCTGTAGGCGCTGAGGGAGTTTACTGTCCAGGCCTTATAGGTGAGTAGAACTGTCGTAACCTCAAGGGAACAAAGCATGGCCTGGGGACCTGAGCTCTGCCCTCTCAGAGTGTTGCCCAGAACCCGAAAGAGGGTTTAAATGAGAGGAGCACACAGCTTACTCATATGCATATGCGTGTGTATGCACGCACACTCAGTAGTCTCCAGGGAACATCCCATCCCATGTGCACATACAAAAAAACAACCAGAGAGTTGGGAGTTCACAGGAAGGGCCCTCAGCCCTGCTGTCAATTTCATCTCAGCCCCATATCAATAAATCAAAGCTGGGTGGGGTGGAGTGCAGTGGCACATGCCTGTAATCCCAGCATTCTGGGAGGCTGAGGCAGGAGGATCACTTGAGGTCAGGAGTTCGAGACCAGCCTGACCAACATGGCAAAAACCCCGTGTCTACTAAAAATACAAAACTTAGCTAGGCTAAGTGGTGGGCTACTTGGGAGGCTGAGGCAGGAGAATCACTTGGACCTGGGAGAAGGAGGTTGCAGTGGGCCGAGATCATGCCACTGCACTCCGCCTGGGCAACAGAGCAAGACTCCGTCTCCAAAAAGGAAAAAGAATCAGAGCTAATTTTCATGCTTCGTGTGTGTGCACACAAAGACAAGGGTATCAGTTCCATGAGTCTGGCATTTTGGTCTTTTTTTCAAATCTCTGGGTAGTGATTTGAAATAGTGCTCACTATAGCTCAATACAGTGTAACACAGCTGCTCAATAAATAGTTGTTCTTGTATGAAGTGCAGGCAGAGAGATGCCTCTGTGTCTACCCAAATGTGTATGCTGGCGCAGTGTGTATAGCAGAGTATGGGCGCGTGTGTGCTCGCAGGCAGGTGAGTCTCTGTGTGGGCATGACCAGGGCAGGAGGTGGGCAAACTCACTGGAGGCCTCACGAAGAGGGGTTCGTTGTCATCTATGTCCTCCAGGGCCACCTGCAGCGGCTGCATAGTCTCGTATGGCACCGGCTGGCCCAGGTCACTGGCCACCAAGATGAGCTAGGAGCGGAAGAGCACAGTCAGAGGGGAAGACGGGGAGCAGGCGTTCGACTGGGGACTTCCCGGTGGCCAGGTCCTCTAGACACTTTCCAGGAGGCGAGGTGTGGGACCCTTGCCCAGAAGAAAGCCTGCCTCAGGCCCCGCCCCTCACACCGGGCCCCGCCCTTACACTGTACACCGCCTGGGTCTCCCGGTCCAGGCGCTGCGCAGTCTGGATGAGGCCACTGATTGGGTCGATGGTGAAGAACTCCCAGTCCCGGCTGCCCGCCGTCTTCAGGAAGCTGTATCGCACCGCCCCATTGAGGCCCTCGTCTTTGTCCGTGGCGTAGACCTCGTACACGTTGGAGCGCAGCGGGATCTCCTGCGGGGAGCATGGGGAGGGAGGCTCCTGGACCCCTGAGAGAATCTCAGTTCCCAGGCTCTGAGGGAGCCCTTGCTCTTTCTCCTGCGGTAGCTCAATGTCCTCAACACCTTCCAGCACCCGCCAGGAGCACCTGCCTGCTCAGCTGGATTCTGGGCTTCTGCTAGCTGTTGTCCCCCTTCTCTCCTCCCCAACCCAAGCTAAGGCCATTGACCACTGACAGTCCAGCCTGAGAGCCACATGCTTCAAGCCTTCCCAGGGTGACCATTTTCCCAAGCGCTGCCTTCGTCCTTCCAGTCCCATTCATTGCACGCTGAGGTTTATCGGACAGAAGGGACCCAAGCACAGAGGCCACAGCCACCCTTTGTCCTGTATCACTCTTGCTCTCTCTTCTACCCCAAACACAAGAACTCTGGGGGTCCCCAAACAACACCATCCATCCAATGGTGGACACAGAAAATGGGGGACATGCAGGCAGGGTGACATGGTGGGTAAGATAGGGGTTGGCCACCAGGGTCTAGTCTGTTACTAACCTGCCTGGAACCTAGACATGCCACCTCAAGTCTCTGAGCCTCAGCCTCCTGAACACCAATGAGCTAGGGCAAAGGTCTTGAAAACCTCATTGAAATCATACATTGACCCATGGTTAAACTGCCCAGAGCAAAAGAAAGGGCACACTTTTTCGATTTTCATTGAAAAATGATCAGCTCAGCATGGTTTCATTGTTTATGTCACAGATCATGACAACTGGAGGTTCTAAATGGCAGTTACATCTAATTAATAAACAGTAGGATGACATATAGATAATTAATAAATTCTGGTTGTTCAAGAGACCCATAATTTTTCCAAATGCAAAACCCTTGAAGGGAAAGTCTTAATAAATGGTGCCTTCGGTGTGAAAAAGGACTAGATTATTACTGATTTATACCCTGCCTCATTCCACAAAAGAGATTTGATGCAGCTGACAAGAATATATAAATTATAATAAGATTGATCAAGTTAAAAAATTAGGGTAAAGAAAAAAATTGGTTGGCAGGAAGATGGAAGCTGAGGGGTGGGAAGCAAGATGATGTAAGCCCTAAGCCCGTGCAGGGTCGCTCAAGATGGTCTGACCACTCTGGGCTCCCTAGTGGGCACAGCAAAGAGGACTGACTGCTCAGTCGCTGTAGATGAGACATTAGACACAGGTTAAAACGCAAAGCACATGGTAAAGGCACAATGCTTCTTCGAGCTCCGCCCTGGGAGAGGTTTCTCCTGTAGGACATCAAAGAGGAGACAGAATGACAAGATGGGCTTAGCACGGACATTCTGAGATGTGGAACCTGGGAGGAGTCTGGGGGACAAAGAACAAGTGGGAGACACTCTGATGGTGCCACTAAGGAGCACTCTGGGCCTGCATGCTTAGGAGAAACGGGGAGAGCAGAAGACGAAGGGGTACTTCCCCTATCTTTATATGGCAACTTAGACCAAGAAGTGGAAGAACTGGAGAGATTCCAGAACCTCACCACTTCCCCTTGTTTCTTATTTTGATGCTCATCCTCAGCTCCTGGGCTGTCTCCACACTGTATCAGCAGGAACAACAGACAGACGGAAGGGGCATGTGTGTTTATTCTGAGACATGTATGGGGGAAGTGGGTCATGGAGGAGCCTGTCCTTCTTGGTAGACATCTAGGAGCAAGAGATTGGGTATTTACTTATTATTAATCCTGTTTTGCAGAAGAAAAATAGACTTACAGAAGTCACTTGCTCATAGTCATTGGGCTGATAAGCGATACAGTCAGACTTCAACCAAAGACTTTTTCTTCTTTTGACAGTCTCACTTTGTTGCCCAGGCTGGAGTGCAGTGGTGCGATTTCAGCTTACTATAACCTTTGTCTCCTGGGTTCAAGTGATTCTCCTGCCTCAGCCTCCCTAGTAGCTGGGATTACAGGCATGCACCACCATGTCCAGCTTTGTATTTTTAGTAGAGATGGAGTTTCACCATATTGGCCAGGCTAGTGTCAAACTCTTGACTTCAAATGATCCACCTGCCTTAGCCTCCCAAAGCGCTATGATTACAGGCATGAGTCACCGCACCTGGCCAAACCCAAGATCTCTTGCTGGCACAGTGCATATACAAACCACGGTTCAATACCGCCCTGTGTGGCACTGGGCAGGTCTGCCTCCTTCTCTGGGCTCAGTTTTCCCACTCTTACAAGCCTTTTTTAATTAACAAAAATTTTTCCCTGGAGCTACTTTCCAGAACCCAAGTTTCCCCACCTTTACAGTGGGGTGCTTCCACTCTCCCAGGCCACAGCTGGGAGAAGGAACTACTGGTGGGCAGGAGGCTCGGGGGGCAGCAGTACCTCTCTGATGTGGAGGACGGTGCCATTGGGTGGGCGCACAAAGACAGGGCGGTTGTCATTGACGTCGATGACCTCCACCAGGAGCATGGTGGTGCCCCAGAGTGGGGGCTGTCCACCATCCGTGGCCACCACGGTCAGGTTGAATCTCTCGTAGGACTGCAGTGGCCGCTGTGTGGTCACTAGGCCTGAGTCCACGTCCACATGGAAAGCCTCTGGCAGTGGGGGCAGGAGAGTAGCTCTGGTTGAGACATCCTCCCCACCCTTCCCTTGACTCCTGGCCTGGGTGGTAGGCCTGCCCCTCCCACCCCCCTAAAGCATCACAGCTGTCCAAGAAAGGCCACGTACCCACACCAGGGCCCTCAAGTGAGTAGGTCAACTCTCCGTTGGGACCTTCATCCTGGTCGGTGGCCATCATGGTGATGACGGAGGTGCCCGCCGGCTCATTCTCATAGACGCTCGTGCTGAACTGGGGCTTGGAGAACTGTGGCCGGCAGTCATTGACATCCAGCACTTGGATCACCACCTGGGTGGAGGGAGGTCAAGGCCAAAGGTGAGGAGCAGGATGGGGCTGCCTCAGGGGACCTGGCTATGCAGGAGTAAGCCCTGCTCGGGGAAGGACAGGCACCAGCCTGGGAGGGAGGTGCTGTCTTCTCATGTGTTGGAGTCTGACTTCAAGCAACTTATTTAACTCCCTGAGACTCGGTTTTCTTAGCTCTACAATCCTAGATCCTTGGCAGTGTCTGAGTCAAGTAAGCACTCAACAACTAGAACTGTGGTTAACAGGTGATCTGCACCTGGGCCAGAAGCAGAAGCCCCTACCCCGTCACACCGCCTGCTTTGTCCCTTGCCACGCCCCACGGTGGCCCTATCAATCTGGCTCTAATCTCTGTCCCTTCATGCTGGCTTGGTGGGATTCCTCCACTCCTCAAGGCTCCTTTTGACTGGGATTTGTGTCTGGCCTGAGGTTTGGCTTCCCTGGCTGACCCCCCAGCCCAGGGCAGGTCTTATGGACACAGAAAACCATGGAGCCTTTGTTCCCTGACTGCGGGGGCCCTGCCCGAACTGCATCCTCATCAGAGCCCTTCTCAGCAGCGACTTCATTTGTGTTTCGGTTACAGGGTTTCACTCTTGTTGCCCAGGCTGGAGTGCAACGGTGCGATCTCAGCTCACTGCAACTTCCACTTCCTGGGTTTAAGTGATTCTCCTGCCCCAGCCTCTCGAATAGCTGGGATTACAGGCACCTACCACCACACCCAGTTAATTTTTGTATTTCTAGTTGAACCAGGGTTTCACCATGTTGGCCGGGCTGGTCTTGAGCTCCTAACCTCAGGTGATCCACCCGCCTTGGCCTCCCAAAGTGCTGGGATTACATGAGCCACCATGCTCCACCTACTTGCCATAAGAAGAATACTAATGACTAGTCGTGGTGGCTCACCCCTGTAATCCAAGCACTTTGGAGGCCAAGGTGGGTGCATCACCTGAGGTCAGGAGTTCAAGACCAGCCTGACCAACATGGTGAAACCCGGTCTTAAAAAAAAAAGAATATTAATGAGGACTTTAAGTCACAATCCCATTCCCATTCCCATTCCACTGTTCGCATAGCTGTTCTGGGGCCAGGATCTCACCCTCTAGACTCTCAGTCCCCTTTTCGATGCAAAGTTGCAGGCCTCAAGGTTTTGCTTCCTCTTTCTCTCTGTTCCCTTCTTCTGCCTTTGGCAGGCCTATCTTTCTGTTCGCAGTACTCACTTCTCCCTCCGAATAACCTCATCATCCAAAGGAAATTCTCTTGAAAGGGAGGGGGTGTGAACAGCTGAATGGGCCAAGACCACTTCTCTTTGGCAGGTACAGAGAAAGGGCTGTGAACACCCACACATATTTGAATCTCATCCCTGTCACACAGGCATGTGCTGTGTTGGGAAAAGCACGGCATTTGAGGTCAGCAGACTCAGGGCAACAAGAGCAAAACTGGCTTAAAAAAAAAAAACCCAAAACCAAAAAACAAATAAATACAGCTGACTCCTGTATAGTTTGGTTTCTGGACTGTGCTTGCTCTCTCTCTCTCTCTCTCCTCTCTCTCTCTCTCTCCTCTCTCTCTCTCTTTCTTTCTTTCTTTTTTTGTGATGGAGTCTCGCTCTGCTGCCCAGGCTACAGTGCAGTGGCGGGATCTTGGCTCACTGCAACCTCCACCTCCTGGGTTCAAGTGATTCTCCTGCCTCAGCCTCCCGATAGCTGGGATTACAGGCACCTGCCACCGCACCCTGCTAATTTTTGTATTTTTAGTAGAGATGGGGTTTCACCTTCTTGGCCAGGTTGGTCTCAAACTCCTGACCTTGTGATCCACCCACCTCAGCCTCCCAAAGTGCTGGGATTACAGGTGTGAGCCACTGTGCCTGGCCTGGACTGTGTTTCTTTCACTGGGACACTATAGTTACTGGGCCATGTGGAGCCCCAAGCAGTATTTGGGTTTCACCCAGGTATGTTTAGCTGCCTATTTGCCAAAATATTTTGCCAAATAGCAGTCTGGTAAAGATTTCTCCTAGAGGATCCCTGTCTTCCGAAGCCATAGCCATTGTAACCCATCCAGTCACCCTCTTGCCTTCTCCTTTCTGCCACTGTGTCCCCAAGGGGACTGGGTGGCTCTGCTCCCAGTCTGCAGCAGTCCACTTGCTAGAGGCTTTGCTTGTTGCCTCCACAACCCCAATCTCTGTGGTCCCTGGCCCAGGTTGGCCCCCCTCACCTGCACGGAATTTTCTCGACGGTTGCTGGCTACATCCCCAGGGTTGTCTTTGGCCAAGGCAGTCAGGATATAGTGGTCCTTCTTCTCCCGGTCCAGAGAGGACAGCACATAGATGTCACCCTAGCAGGAGAAGGGTGGCTATAGGTCCTTCAGTCATTCAAAAGATACTTATTGAGCACCTACTATGGCCAGCCAGATACTATTATGGACTTCGGAGATTCAGCACTGAACAAAACAGACATAACCCCTTCCCCTAGCAAGCTCCCATTCTAGTGGCTCTTGTTGCTCTCACTATCCCAACCTACCTGGGAGTGGGGTGACCAGCCCAGCCTGGAGCTACCTGCCTGACCAGGGCCTAGCATATAGTAGGTACCCCATAAATATTCATTGGTCTTAATGCCAGGCCTGGAGCCACGTCTGATGGCTCATATCAAGCAGGAAAGAGTGAAAGGGCAGAGTGCCAGAGGATGAGGGCAGAGCAGGGCAGTGGGAGAGAAAGTCCAGTTCCAGCCCCAGTAACTGGGGTAGGCCCTGCCTGACCAACCAGTGCCAGGCTACAGGACTCTTTCTCTATACTGAAAATAGCAGCTTTGAACCGCTTAGCAAACATTTGAAGTCATCTCCCATCTTTTCTCCTGAATTGCTGCTCTCTTATAGGTCTGAGATTCAATGGAGCGTGTGAGATGCACCCTTTGGGGCATCCTCCCTTCCCCAGCTCTGAGTATAGGGCCATGTATACAGTAGGTGCTCAGACACTGTGCCCACTTTCTGCAGTGCTTCCCATGCCTCTTTTCTGACCATCTCAAAAAGCAGCCCCATGGGCTTCAATCAAGCTTTCTAGTGTGGAGAGGACACATCTCAGAAGTTGTCCCACAAAGGGCTCATTACAAAAGACTTGGCCACTTCCTTCAGATCTGTTGCGACAGAAAGGCCACAGTCTCCAGAATGCCTGGGACTCTGATAACAGGGTTTGCTGACTTGGCTAAAGAACGTGAGGCTGCAGATGTCCAGGTGGCAAGACCCAGAGGGATGACTACAATCCTTTTGGTGGTTGCTTGTTTTCTGACCCTGGGTCTTTCCACTTCCAGATCCCAGGCTCTCCATCGCCACTCACCGTGGTGGGGTTGATGGCAAACTTGCCCTCTCCATCTCCAAGGCTGTACTCAATGAGTGCAAAGTTGCCTGAGTCAGCATCAGTGGCAGTGACTGTCAGGATGATTGTGCCCACAGGCACATCCTCAAAGACGGCCTCCTGGAGCCCAGGGGGCAGGGAGAGAGAGTAGGCCAAGGTCAGTCCCAGAGCCCGGGCACTGCCCTAGAGCTCACTGATGCAGGCATCAAGCTGCTCATGGGCTGGGCACTCCCAGGGGGCTTAGAGGCTGGCTGGGTGGGAGTAGAAGATGCCCAAAGACCCCAAGCAATGGGGACAGGTCTTAAGACCCAGCCTGTGGCCTGGCCACCCACCTGGTAGGAGGGCTGGTCAAAGATGGGGTTGTTGTCATTGATGTCCACGATCTCCAGGTAGACAGGGATTTCAGCTGCCCGGGGCGGGGACCCATTGTCTGAGGCCCTCACAGTAAAGTTGAGCCAGTGTACTTCCTCGTAGTCCACTGTCTGGTTGGCAATGACCTTCCCTAAGACACAGAGGCCCCCACTGCCATTCTGGCCACTCCTCACTCATGGCAGCTCTTCAAAGCATGAGGAGAAGGACCTGGACTAGGGGCAGGTGTGATTCCTTGAAGGACGGTGGTTGGGCAGCACTGCCCAGTAGCAGGCCACATGACAGGGACTGGTGTCCAGTTGTTCTTTTTGTGGAGGGTGAAAAAGCTTCTCCCAGCCACAGGGATGAACATCAACTAGCCCGGGACCTAAGACACCTCCTTCTTGGCCTTCCTGCTCCCTCAGTGGTACTAGTAGTAGGAGCCTGAGTGGTGAGGTAGCCCAGGTTTCTGGCAGACATCGAGAGGCTTCCATTCCAACCCAGGAGTAAGTACTCTGTTCCTCCTTTCCCCTGGTTTGAGTATCTGGAATCTGGCATGGAATGCTGGCTATTTTGTATCTGGCCCGATCCACTGAGGTGCCACAGAGGGGCTATGTTCCCTCTTGGGTGTTCAGCAAGCACAGATATATGTCCCCCAACCCTCCTCTGACAGATTTCTGACCTACCTGCTGAGGAGTCCTCCAGCTGGACATAGCCTGGGGGCACCAGGTCCAGCAGGGTGTAGGTGATCAGCCCATTGAGACCCTTGTCAGGGTCCACGGCTGCCACAGCAATGAGCGTGGTCCCTGGGGTGGCCCCCTCCAGGATCCGCTCCGTGTAGTAGGTGATCCCAAAGGGTTTGAACTGGGGTGTATTGTCATTGACATCCAGGACATTGACAGTCAGCTTAGCTGGGGTGGAGGCAGGGAGTAAGGGAGAGGGGAGGGACACCAGTGTGGCTGGGCCAGGACTTCCTTAGGCTCGGCCAAACCAGGAGAGCATGGCAGCATCCCACAGCCCCCCTGAGGATTGACCTAACTCTCAGGGTGCAGCACATGAGCCTTTCCAGTGGTCTAGTCACTTGCTTTTCCATAAGAGGAAGGGCTGGGTGACCCTAGTGGAGCCCTTGGTCCTTCCTGTGCCCTGGTTTCCTAACCTGCTCAATGAGATAGGGCAAGATGATCTTTAAGACTCTAGATCTTGTCTGAGCTGTCCCCTCTATGTAACCCGCCTGGGCCCTTAACCATCTGAGTCTCTGACACGGAAGAGATGACCAAGTCTGCCCTTCTTTCTGGAAAACGCATGCTTCTGGGCTGTGAAGATAAGCAGCCAACATCTGCCAGGCCTGGCTCCCCCCACAGCAGCTGTCTCTGCCTCATGGCAGACGCAACTTGAGTCTACCCCATCCCCACTTCCCCCACTCCACTCTCGCTCTGCCCACACAAAATCTATCCCTCTGACAGCCCCTTCCCAGCTCACATCTCAGGCTGCAGGCAGGGTGGCCTGGGCCTGACTGGCAGAAGGTAACACCAGGCCCCTTTGTTCTCCACCATAAGTGCCTCCACCCCCAAAGCAGTGTCTGTGGCCTCAGGTCACCTCCCCTTACTCCTTGCTTCCTCTGTGCTAACCCCGTGGCTTCCTATCAGATCATGGGGTTCCCATCTTACATCCTAGCCACACCCTGGTTACCAGTTCTGCTGACTGAACCTAAGCCTCTGTCAAACCGTTTTTTCTCAATCCGTTCCAGGCTCTACCAAGCCTCCTTCTTACTCTGAGCCTGGGGGTTCAGATTGCACATAGTTCTGGGCTTCTGGATTCCCCACCGCTGAGCTCTGCATAACCATCACCACCCTGGGCCTGACCGTGGCTGCCACCTTCCATCCTTTTATGCTTTTAGTGTTCTCTGACTCCTGACCCCTGGCCCCGGAGCAGCTGGGTCTTGTTGCTGTCTCCCTGGGGACAGACAATTGCTGGTTCCTCACCTGCCCCCTGCCCTGACTGGCTCTGAGTAACCCATGAAAAATGTCTGCAGAGAACCTTACCATTTGGCACACTGACAGAGCGCTCTGGTAGGTCGCTGGCATTGTCAATTACTGAGAGAGTGACCTCATAGGTGGCAACCAGCTCCCGATTCAGGGGGGACTTCACCATTACGGATCCTGTGGACCAGACCAGGTCAGGTTCAGCCTGAGCAGAAAGCCCTAAAATCTGCCCTTCCCAGGGGTGTGCCTGGCCAAACCCTCCTAATCCCCACAGAGGATGATGGGTCCCCAGTGGCTGCTGGGACTTGTGGCTGAGATGGGCCCTCAGCCCCCTCATAAGCTGGGGGCACATGGCTCTGCCCCTCCCATGATGCTTACTAGCCAGGTGACTTTGGAGAAGTTATGTCACCTCTCTGCACCTCTGTGTCTTCATTTGTAAAATGAGATAATTACAGTACTGACTGTCAACCCATCATTTTCTCAATCCCCTACTATTTTGAGAATTAGAAAAACAAAACGAGTTTCCAATTGTAAAGTGTTTAGAACAGTGCCTGGCACACTGAAGCTATTTAATTCCTTTTTAAAAAAAATGCTGTATTCCCTAACAATGCGAATGCACCTAACACTACTGAACTCCACACTTAAACGTCGCTATAACGGTGAATTTCACTATGTGTATTTTATCACAATTTAAAAAATGCTTAGATTCTAGGGAGATGAAATTGAAAGGAAAATCATGGTAGCTGAAAAGCCCTGAGGGGGTTCCCTGGAGTGGGCAGTGGTGGAAGAGTATGGATGCTTCAGGTCCATCCCTTTGTCTTGATTAAATAGGGAGTGACATAGACTGATTGGTTCTATGGCAGTCCTAGCAAGGGACAAGAGCATTGGTTCCATGGCAGTCCTAGCAAGGGGCTTCCTTCTGTTCTAACCACTGCCTCCCAGAGTCTCTGCCTGCTCCCCAAATCAGAGAGGAACCCCCTAGAAGTGTGGGCTGGGATAGGACAGACCTAGTTTGCCTGGCTTTCCTGGGACCTTTCTTGTTCCTGCCTGTTAGAGGGCCTGGTGGCTTCTCCTTTCATTGGCTTCATCCCAGAGTGAGACCTTCTCTCCCTCTCAGGCACCAGGGTCTCTGGGATTCCCTTCCCCCTCGGCAGATCCCCTGCTGGGCTGCTGTCCTCCATGGGTCCCCAGCCGGGGGGGCAGTCACTTACCCTGGGCTGCCTCCTCCTCCTCCTCCTCCTCTTCCTACTCTCGCTCCCTGTCCCCCAGGCTGGGGAGCGAGGATGGGGAGAGGGCGGCTGCATTCAGTCTGCAAAGGCTGGGCCACAGCCTTGGCCCGGGCCCCACAGGACAGGAAGGGTGGTGGGGGTGCAGTGGGCATGGAGGAAGGCAATGGAGTGAGGCAGAGAAGAGATGAGGTGGGAAGTGACAGAGAAACAGAGCTCAAACCTGTGGGCCTGCCAGCCGTGAGGAAGAGAGAAGAGGGTTAACATCAGTTAGTTCAGGGTGCAGCAGGGATGGAGCAGAACGGGGCAGGGAGGACGCTGGGGACTCAGAGCTGATGGGGTGGGAGGAGGGAGGGAGGGGTGGAAACAGGGAGTGGGGAGGGGAAGAGGCACTGGGAAGGAAACCAGGGGAGCAAGCGGAAGCCCATTTGGAGTGGAGAGCTCAGGGGCTGAGGCTCTGGCAAGACGAAGAGGGAGCAAAGTGGGCAAGGGAGGTGGGGGGAGCTGAGGATGAGGGGGCAGAGAAGACACTGGAAAGAAAAATAGAGAAGACAGTCAGTTGGAGGAAGAGGGATCAGGAAAGAGAGAAGCAGTAGGGAACAGAGCAGAGCCTCCAGTTGAGCTGGGATGTGGAGCAGCTCTCCATGGTCCTGACCAACTCAGGCAGCCAGGAATTTTGCTAACCTGGGACATGGCTGGCTCTATCTAACTTCTCCTAGTGCTCATGGCTTTTCCTTCTTCTGTTTCCCTTTGGGCCTCAAATGCAGATTCATGTTCTTTGGTTCACTATGACCACCGGTACCTCTCTTGTTTTATGTGTGCATCAACCCCCTTTCATTCCCATACACCTCTCTCCTTCCCTTCTTCCCTCAGGGAGTCATTGTAATGTACTGAAGCGTATTTTTTGTTAATGAAAGTATTTCTGAAAATCATGTATTGCTTTGTACATATTTTACATTTATGCAAATGGTGCTGTGGCATATATCTCATCCCATTTCTTATCCTTTTTAGTAAATACTTATATTAAGATCTGCCTACATTGCTCTGTGTGTGTCTAATTTATTGCTTCTCACTGCTGGCTGGTACCCACATGATGTGCACCCGCTGTGTTTTATTCTTCAGTCTCCCAGAAACGGACACCTGCATGGCCCCCAAATCCACCATCACCAATAACACTGCAGTGAGTATCTCAGATGGTTTCATTAATGCCTTGAGACCTTCTCTGGAACATGTACTTGGAGGTGGAGCTGCTGGGTAATAAGGTACAAGTGTACCTTATGCTAGATTGCTATTCAGACAGTGGAATCAGTCACAGCTCCTACAGCAGTGCATGAGGGTTTCAACGTCCCCACACCGTCACCAATATCAACATTCTCCAGCATCTTAATGCCTGATAATCATTTGAAAAACTAACTTCTTGCTGCTGTTTTAGTGCTTTGTCATAACCATGTTGATTTTTCTTTTTTCTTTCTTTTTTTTTTTTTTTTTGAGACGGGGTTTCGCTCTTGTTACCCAGGCTGGAGTGCAATGGCGCGATCTCGGCTCACCGCAACCTGCGCCTCCTGGGTTCAGGCAATTCTCCTGCCTCAGCCTCCTGAGTAGCTGGGATTACAGGCACGCGCCACCGTGCCCAGCTAATTTTTTGTATTTTTAGTAGAGACGGGGTTTCACCATGTTGACCAGGATAGTCTCGATCTCTTGACCTCGTGATCCACCCACCTCGGCCTCCCAAAGTGCTGGGATTACAGGCTTGAGCCACCGCGCCTGGCCCCATGTTGATTTTTCTACCGCTCCTCTGGACCTTCCAAGAAGTACACCTACCAGCTCCGTGTCCCTTTCCTAACTACTCGAAAGAGAAAAATACTGAACTTTTGGGAAAATGATAAAACCACCAACATTACAATAAGCTGCATACATTGTTAAAGATAAGCCATGGTTCTCTTGGTTTCATAGTGTAAGAAAATCATTGATCTGCATATAACTGGCAGAGAATTTAAATGGCCAACATACATATGAAGAAAATGTTCAGCCACCTAGTTAGGAAAGAAATACATGTTAAGGCTTGGCATGGTGGCTCACGCCTGGAATCCCAGTACTTTGGGAGGCCAAGACAGGTGGATCACAAGGTCAGGAGTTCAAGACCAGCCTGGCCAACATGGTGAAACCCTGTCTCTACTAAAAATACAAAAATTAGCTGGGCATGGTGGCACGCGTCTATAATCCCAGCTACTTGAGAGGCTGAGGCAGGAGAATTGCTTGAACCTGGACCCGAGAGGTGGAGGTTGCAGTGAGTTGAGATCACATCACTGCACTCCAGCCTGGGCTACAGAGCAAAATTCTGTCTCAAAAAAAAAAAAATTTATGTTAAACGAGGTATCATGGCCAAGCACAGTGGCTCAGGCCTGTAATCCCAGCACTTTGGGAGCCTGAGGCAGCTGGATCATCTGAGGTCAAATGTTCGAGACTAGCCTAGCCAACATGGTAAAATCCTGTCTCTACTAAAAATACAAAAATTGGCTGGGCATGGTGGTGTATGCCTGTAATCTCAGCTACTTGGGAGGCTGAGACAGGAGGATTGCTTGAATCCAGGAGGTGGAGGTTGCAGTGAGCCAAGATAGCACCACTGCACTCCAGCCTAGGCGACAAGAGGGAAATTTCATCTCAAAAAACAAAAACAAAAACAAAAACAAACAAGGTATTACTTTCCTCTAAAATTGCCAACATGAAAATGTTATCATTTTTAATGCTGCCTTGAGTGTGGTGAGAGAAGTGCTCTCATGCAACGGTGGGGTGAGGGAATCAGGAAGGCCAGAGAAGCTGCTCAAGGGAGAGGGAGGAAGAGAAAGCAGAGAAGGAAGGAGCAACGGGAGAGATGGAAAAGGGGAGGGATCTGGTATCATGGGAGAGAAGAGAGTAGCAAGGGACCAGCAGCGGAAGAGAAAGAAGGAGAAAGGAGTGGGAAGCAGGGAGCAAGGAGACTGGGCTGGGAGCCGGGAGAAAGGTAGGAGGGTGCAGGCCCTTGTACCTGTGTTGATATTCACAGCAAAGGCGTCCTCCTGGTTGGGCACCAGGCGGTCAGTGTCGTCCTTGGCCACAATGCCGATGATGTGGTATTCTAGCTTTGGGTTGAGGTCGCGGTCGATGGCCGTGACATTGGCAATGACAGTGCCTGGCTCGGCCGACTCCAGCACGCTCACTGTCTGAATGGGGTTGAGGAACTCGGGACGGGAGTCATTGATGTCATCGATCAGGATGGTGACGATGGCTGTGCCCGAGAGAGGAATGGTGCCCCGGTCGGTGGCCACCACCATTAGCCTGTAGGCCTCCTGCTCCTCTCTGTCGATGGTGGCATTGCCGACACGGATGATCCCGGTGGCCGGATGAATGAGGAAGCGGTCCTGAGCCCCGGCTTCTATTCGGTAGACCAGCTCCCCATTGAGGCCACTGTCCTCATCTGTGGCTGTGACTTGAAGGACTGAGAATCCTGTTGGGGAGGAAATGGAGTAGCTGTGCACAGTGGCCTCTTCCAGAAAGATCTACCAAGACGCATTTGTTGGTGATGTGCAAGTGGCCCCTCCTCATGACAGCCTTGACACATTTTCTTTTATACATTTTTCGTATTTGCAATTTTATAGGAAAATGGAATATTATTTTATATTCTTTGATTAAACAACATTTTATAATGTAATGGTTAGTTATATGTTCTACAAATGGTCTGCTTTTGTCTTTTGCCCATTTTTCTGTCAAGTTATACAAGTCATATAATTATGACAACTTGACACTATATAAATATATATATATATATATATATATATATATATATATTTTTTTTTTTTTTTTTTTTTTTTTTTTTTTTTTGAGATGGAGTCTTGCTCTGTCACCCAGGCTGGAGTGCAGTGGTGTGATTTCAGCTCACTGCAACCTCCGCCTCCTGGATTCAAGCAATTTTCATGCAGCAGACTCCAGAGTAGCTGGGACTATAGGCACCCACCACCATAGCTGGCTAATTTTTTGTGTTTTTAGTAGAGACGGGATTTCTATTTTGACATGTTGGTCAGGCTGGTCTCGAACTCCTGACCTCAAGTGATCTGCCCACCGTTGGCCTCACAAAGTGCTGGGATTACAGGCAGGCGTGAGCCACTGCACCTGGCCCGAGACAAATACAGTTTTCTGTGTGCTGTATGCCTTTCAATATTGGCTCTAACTATTTGATGTAACAAACTTTAAATTAGTATGCATACAAATTTAATATTTTTCCTTTTGAGTTCTTTTATGCTTAGAATCGTTTTATCCAGAAATGAGTTATTCACCTAAATTTTCTTCATTTATTTAGTGTTTTCTACTTTTTAATATTCTTTTGGTTTTTATTTTTGCATCTGATATTTATTTATCTGATATTTATTTTTGCATCTGACAGAATCTACACTAGCTTTCCCATAGGCTTCATTGCTTCCTTTATCACATTATTATTATTATTTTTTTGAGATGGAGTTTTGCTCTTGTTGCCCAGGGTGGAGTGCAATGGCACAATCTCGGCTCACCGCAACCTCTGCCTCCTGGCTTCAAACCATTCTCCTGCCTCAGCCTCCTGGGTAGCTGGGATTACAGGCATGCACTACCATGCCTGGCTAGTTTTGTGTTTTCAGTAGAGGTGGGGTTTCTCCATGTTGGTTCGGCTGGTCTCAAACTCCTGACCTGAGGCAACCTGCCTGCCTCAGCCTCCCAAAGTGCTGGGATCACAGGTGTGAGCCACCACGCCCGGCCTCACATCATATTTTATTCTTTAATTTATCAGTATCTGTTTCTGGGCTATTTTGTCCTGGAGTCTTGTGCCCACAACGCATGGCTTTACATACTGTAGCTTTGTAATATGTTATAAAATCTGGTAAGCCAAATCTGGCTTCTTATACTATGTTTTTCAAAATTGTCTTCTTCTTCCAGAAGTTATATTTTGATTTTGATGGGAATCATGTTGATCCTATTTTGACTTTATTTATTTTTATTTTTATTTTTTATTTTTTTTTGAGACAGAGTTTGGCTCTTGTTACCCAGGCTGGAGTGCAATGCGCGATCTCGGCTCACCGCAACCTCCGCCTCCTGGGTTCAGGCAATTCTCCTGCCTCAGCCTCCTGAGTATCTGGGATTACAGGCACGCGCCACCATGCCCAGCTAATTTTTTTGTATTTTTAGTAGAGACGGGGTTTCACCATGTTGACCAGGATGGTCTCGATCTCTCCACCTCGTGATCCACCCGCTTCGGCCTCCCAAAGTGCTGGGATTACAGGCTTGAGCCACCGCGCCCGGCCTCCTATTTTGACTTTAAAATAGTCAGTGTTTCTACATGGGAACTTGGATGCATATACTTAAGAATCTTGTTTGCAGACAAGACACGGAGGCTCAGAGGAGGGAAGCGAGGGTCCAGGTCTCCGGACTCCCTCTCCAGTATGCTCTTCACTCACCCTGCTGCCCATCTCTCTCCCCACTGGTGGCAAACTCTGTGTTCAACCTGAGACTCTAGTCCCCTGCGAGCACCAACCAGCCCCTGGTTGGGGGTGGGGGGGCCTGTCCCTGCTTACCAGGTGGGCAGTTCTCCAGTAGGTGGACAGTGAGAGTGGCAGGGCTAAAGGTGGGCTGGTTGTCATTGTCATCCAGGATGGTGACAAGCAGGTGGGCCGTGCTGTTGAGCAGCCCGACGTCCTCAGCCAGCAGCAGCAGCTCCAGGATGGGTGGCGAGAAGGCCTCCCGGTCAATGATGACACCTGACCTCACAGTCACCACGCCTGGCACCCGGTGCCACCAGCCAGGGAAGCAAACAGAAAAGGGGGGCAGTGGGGAAATAGGGCAAGAACCAACAGGGAGAGAGCAGAGAAAGAGAGGCACCATGGGGGACAGAGACGAAAGAGGAGCAGAGACGGTAACACAATGACTTTCTTTCCCCCAGGCTCGACCACCTGTGCTTAGGGAGGGCCCCACACATCTCTTGTGGTTGTCCCCTCTGCAGGTACCCTCTGCTGTCCTCAAGACCCCTGCCTGGGAAGAGTGACCTGGTGCAGAGGAATGACCTTCTCTGTCGAGAGATGTGCTTTCCTGCTGGCACCTGTCACCAAAGCAGCCTCCTGTCCAGGACCAGACTGATGTGACATGGTCAGGTTGGAGGATAGGAAAGTTGCTTCGGCTACTTCTGCTGGACTGGGGACATGAAGGGAGTGGGCTGGGGGCTCCCGGCCTAGGCTGAGAGTTTGTGCACCGGCAGGTCCTGTGTGTTGTCTCCAAGCCTCTTCCTATGTCCTCCCGCCAGGCCCGTGGGTGACATAATCCAGCTGCAAGGTGGGGACTCTGGGCTGTGAAAAATGGGGTCTCCATGGACAGCCTGAGTTCAGCACTGAGAAGGGAGGCCCTTAATCCAGCACTGGGGCCATCCCCAGCCCAGAGCCAGGCTGGGAGTGTTAGGTGGCACAGAGACCTCACCGGTGCTGTTGTTGATGTCAAAGAGGCCACTCTGGGCGCCCAGCAGCTGGTAGGTCACCACGGCGTAGATGTCTTGGTCTGCATCCAGGGCCAGGATGGGCCCATTGAGCACCGTGAGAGGGGTCCCTGGGTCAGAAGGAGAGTGGTCACCACAGGGCCAACCCAGCCCCCTGCCCTCCCGCCTCCCCTGCCCTGTCCCCGTGAGCCATGGCTGACGATGGATGAGAGGGGAGGGAGGTGAGGTGGACAGGGTGGGGAGGCCCTGGCAGCGGGCCTGCGGCAGCCTTGGCAGACTGAACGCAGATGCCTGGGGAGCGGCCTCAAAGCCCTGCTGAGGAGAAAACACGAGAGTGGTAAGCAAGGCCCCGGCTGCCCAGAGCCACACCTGCCTTCCCAGCAGCCTTTGAGGCTGGCCGCTCCTCGGGAGGGTCTGGGGCTCCCTGACATCACCACCCCATGTGTGGGCCTCTCCTATCTACACATGCGCAAACAATGCTCTACCTTTGGGGGCCTGGCCATACATGACTAGGAATCCACACATGTGTGCATCAAGTTCTGTGTTCACATGGTCACAAGCACTTGCCCAGAGCACGTGCAAGCCTGGGATTCCCTGGTTGTGTGCTCGTGTGCCTCTGCAGGTGGGCATGTCTGCAAATGAGCGCATAGTGTGGACACCCATGTGCCTGTGTCTGTGCACATGTGTAACCCCACACACATGCCTTGATATGGCCACACACAGGCACATGTGTGAGCATATATACAGACAGGTTTAACAGTGACATTCACCTAGTGGAGAGGCCCAGCCGGAGATGAGGAGCAGGGGCTAGGGAGACTGGAGGGGTGAGGGTGCCACCTTGGGGGACATCGAAGAGGAGACTCTGTCCCTCTGAAGGGAGGTGAGGCTGGTCAGTGCATGTGTGTAGACAGAGGGCTATGCTGGCCTGCTCAGGACCCCCTGACCTCATGCTTCTGATTATAGATGCTCCCTAGGGCTTCCAGAAGCCCCGCAATGCCCTGCACTCCTGGAGTGGAGAGAGCAGTGGGGGGTGGGCCCACTCCCCTCCTGGGTAGTCCTCACACCTTAAATGCCCCTCTTGAGGGATGACGGGGCAACTCTCAGACCACCCTGGGAACCAATGACCACAACTGTCTCTTCCAACCGGACCTATGGCCTCTTTGGTGCTTGCAGGAGGACAGGCAGCTCCAGCCCATTATTCCCCGGAGCTGTGCCCATCCCTCCCCTCCCACACCCACTGGGATCTATGTTCAGCTATGTCATCAGGCATAAAGGAGGTCCTTGGGCATCCCAGGCCCCAGTGGTGCCTGGCAATGGTAGGAGCTCCCAGGCGGGCCCTGTACCTACCAGCGGGAGAGTTTTCCATCACCTCTGCCTGGTAGGTGCTTTCAGTGAAGAGGGGGTGATTGTCGTTTTCATCCGAAAGGAAGATCAGAAGCAAGTCATAATCCTGCAAGGGGCAGAACAGAGCAGGTTGTAGGCCATGTTCAGCAAAGTGCCCCCCCCCCCCCAGTGGGAGGAGGGTTGGGAGGTGGAGGATTAGGGCACAGAGGTGGATGATCAGAAAAACCCACACTAACGTGAACTCACATTTTTCAAAAGAAGACAAACAAGGGGGTAACAAACATGGAAAAATGCTCAGCATCGCTAATCATCAGAGAAATGCAATGAACCACAGTGAGATATCCTCTCACACCAGTCAGAATGGCTATGATTAATAAGCCAAAAGCAACACGCTAGGCGCGGTGGCTCATGCCTGTAATCCCAGCACTTCGGGAGGATGAGGTGGGCAGATCACTTGAGGTCAGGAGTTCGAGACCAGCCTGACCAATATGGTGAAACCCTGTCTCTACTAAAAATACAAAAAAATTAGCTGGGTGTGGTGGCACACACCTGTAATCCCAGCTATGTCGGAGGTTGAGGCAGGAGAATCGCTTGAACCCAGGAGGCAGAGGTTGCAGTGAGCTGAGATCGTGCCACTGCACTCCAGCCTGGGTGACAGAGCAAGACTCCATCTGAGAAACAACAGATGCTGGTGAGGATACAGAGAAAAGGGAATGCTCAAACACTGCCCATGGGAGTGCACATTCCTTCAGCCACTGTGGAAAGCAATATGGAGATTTCTCAAAGAACTAAAGATAGAACCACCCTCAATCCCACAATATACCTCTACTGGGTACCTACCCAAAGGGAAATACATTGTTATCTCAGAAAGATACTTGCACTCCTAGGTTTACCACACTATTCACAATAGCAATGACATGGAATCAACCTAAGTGTCCATCACAGAGGACTGGATAAAGAAAATGTGGTATATAGGCCATGGGATACTGCTCAGCCATTAAGAAAGAGTAAAGTCCCTGAGCCAGGGTCTGTAAACCTAACACTTTATATTTGTTCACACATGTTAGTACATACACACATGAGCCTGCAGCACATGCTTCTGTCCCCTCCTCCTTCCACCCCTTTAGCTGCTGTTGCCTCCCTTCTCAGGCAGGTGCTGGATCCTTCCTAGGGGATGGGGGAAGCCCTGGCTGCAGGCAGCCTTCCAGGCATTATGAAGATAGGAGACCCAAGGGCCTGGCAGTGAGAGGTGTGGCCCAACACTGATTTCTGATATTAAAATCTCAGCTCCCAAAAAAAAAAAAAAAAAAAAAAAAAAAAAAAAAAAAAAAAAAACATGGATGGAGCTGGAGGCCATTATCCTAAGTGAAATGACTCAGAAACAGAAAGTCAAATACTGCATATTTCACTTGTAAGTGGGAGTTAAATAATGTGTAACCATGGCTATACATGGAATAAGAGACATTGGAGACTCAGAAGGGTGAGAGGATGGGAAGGGGGTGAGGGTTGAAAAATTACTTATTAGGGATAGGGCATGGTGGCTCAGGCCTGTAATCCCAGCACTTTGGGAGGCCAAGGCAGGCAGATCACCTGAGGTTGAGAGTTCGAGACCACCCTGACCAACATGGAGAAACCCCATATCTACTAAAAATACAAAATTAACTGGGAGTAGTGGCGCATGCCTGTAATCCCAGCTACTCAGGAGGCTGAGGCAGGAGAATCACTTGAACCCAGGAGGTGGAGATTGCAGTGAGCTGAGATCGCACCACTGCACTCCAGTCTGGGCAAGGAGGTTGAAACTCCGCTTCAAAAAAAAAAAAAGAAAGAAAGAAAAAAAGAAAAATTACTTATTAGGTACAATGTTCACTGTTGAGTGAACACTGAACCTAAAAGATAATTTTGGGTACACTTGATGGTCCCAGTCTTCACCACTACACAATACAGACATGTAAGAAACCTGTACTCAAATCCCCTAAATCTATACAAAATTTTTTTAATCTAAAAAAAAGCCCACACTGAGGTTCAAAGACCTGGGTTGCGGCCCAATTCTGGGCAACCTTGGGCACGTTGTTTCCCCTGTCTGAGTCTCAGTTTTCCAGTCTGGCAAATACAGATTTTTTTTTTTTTTTGAGATGGAGTTTCGCTCTTGTTACCCAGGCTGGAATGCAATGGCGCGATCTCGGCTCACCGCAACCTCCACCTTCTAGATTCAGGCAATTCTCCTGCCTCAGCCTCCTGAGTATCTGGGATTACAGGCACGCGCCACCATGCCCAGCTAATTTTTTGTATTTTTAGTAGAGACGGGGTTTCACCATGTTAACCAGGATGGTCTCGATCTCTTGACCTCATGATCCACCTGCCTTGGCCTCCCAAAGTGCTGGGATTACAGGCTTAAGCCATCGCGCCCGGCCCCAAATATGGATTTTTAACTCCGTCACGGAGGTGTCGTGAATGGGATTTAATCCCGTTCCACCTCACTTCAGGCAGGCAGATGAGTCCTGTTTCTCAGACCCTCATGGCCTTGCTGTTGCCCTGGTTGGAAGAGTTCACCCAAACTCTGCCAGTGCCTCACTTCACACCTGCCAACCCTCAGAACCTCCAGCACCCTGTGCGCTGTCATCACCTCAGAGACAAGTGAACTAAGGTGCAGAGATGGGGAGTGGCGATTCAGAGCCCAGTGGTGAGTCAGCGGCAGAGACCCGCCACTCAATGCTGCTCTTACTCAGGGCCCTCCTGACGCCCAGGAAAAGGTGAGGGAAAATGAGAGCAGGAAAGAGAAAAAGTGGGGCAAAAAGAAGGGAGCAGAAGCTGGGTGCAGTGGCTCACACCTGTAATCCCAGCACCTTGAAAGGCTGAGGCGGATGGATTGCTCGAGGTCAGGAGTTTGAGACCAGCCTGGCCAACATGGTGAAATCCCATCTCTACTAAAAATACAAAAATGAGCCAGGTGTGGTGGTGGGTGCCTGTAGCTACTTGGGAGGCTGAGGCACAAGAATCGCTTGAACCCGGGAGACAGAGGTTGCAGTGAGCCGAGATTGAGATTGCACCACTGCACTCCAGCCTGGGCGACAGAGAGAGACTCCATCTAAAAAAAAAAAAAAAGAAAAGAAAAGAAAAGAAAAGAAGGGAGTAGGAAGCAGAGGAGCACCACATGGGAGTGGAAGGGGCATGTAGCTTATGACTTTCTCCAGCTTGACATCTCTAGCTAGACAGATAGGGAAACTGAGGCCCAGAAAGAGCAGTGCCTTGGTTGTGGCACACAGCTAGTCAGGAGCAGAGCTGAGATGAACTGGGTCTGAGGGTCCTGGCTGGGGGTTTACTGCAGTCTCATGGGCTGGAAGGACAGAGCTGACCCCCAACCTAAAGGGACTGTTTGCTTTGCAATATCCTCCCTTTAGTAAATAGCTCATTTATTTGGCTTTTGAGGGGAGAGCCACCTGGAAAACGCAGGCCTTCCAGGACCTCAGAGCATGCTTGTGAGCGCATGCAGGCCCAGATGCCCCGTGCACACATGCAGCGTGTGTCCAGGTATCAGCGGTTTGGGGAGAAAACAATGAGAGTTGATGTTCGTTGAGTGTCATGTGCAAGGTACTGTACTGAGGCTTTTGTGTATATTGGCTCCTTCATCCTTTCCACACTTTTGGGGTAGGTGTGATCTTCATTTTGCAGAAGAGAAATGGAGGCCAAGAGGAGTTAACTGGCCAAAGCCATGCACCTACTGAAGGGGAGAACTGGGATTTGAACCCGGCATGTGCTCACTCCAAAGCCTGTGCTAAGCCTGGCTATGCTGCCTGCAGGAGGGGTGATGTATTCTTTCTCCATGTACCTCCAGCTCCCAGCCCTGCTACCCACAGTGCCCTCCAGTCTCACCCTCCTGGCTATGCGTGGGTTCTCCGGGTTGTCTTTCACAGAAATGGTCAGCTTGTACTCTGGGATCCGCTCGCGGTCCAGGGGCCGGTTCACAGTGACGATCCCTGTCTGGGATGTGGAGGGTGGTGAGCTACATGGAGACCTGCTCCCTGTTTTCTACTTTGCCCCACAGATGCCAACTGCTCTGCCTGGCCTCCCTAAATTGCCTAAGAGATGGTCTAGAAGGCCAAAAATGTGAGCCAGCAGGGTCTCTCCAGGGCGAGTGACCCACTGACGCCCAGCCCCTGCTGCTTTTTTTCTTTTTTTTTAAGATGAAATCTTGCTCTTGTCTCCCAGGCTAGAGTGCAGTGGTGCGATCTCGGCTCACTGCAGCCTCTGCCTCCTGGGTTCAAGTGATTCTCCTACCTCAGCCTCTCGAGTAGCTGAGATTATAGGCACCCATCACCACGCCTGGCTAATTTTTGTATTTTTAGTAGAGACGGGGTTTCACCGTGTTGGCCAGGGTGGTCTCAAACTCCTGACCTCAAGTGATCTGTCTGCCTCGGCCTCCCAAAGTGCTGGGATTGCAGGCGTGAGCCACCGTGCCTGGCCGAGACCTTGCTGCTTCTAAGGGATGGCCCTCTGAGGACTCCACGGTGTTGCTGGCCACCTACAGACACCTCAAGAGGCTGAGTGAGAACTTTGGTGCATCTTGGTTAAACCATGTGGTCCCACAGGTTCTGACCCCATCTCTGTACATGACAAGCCTCAGGGCTGGCTCTAGGTGGACTCCAGAGATGGCTCACTGGGGAATCCAAGATTCCATGCTTCCCACAGAGATGTCCTCATCCCAGCGGAGGAACAGGAGCCAGGTGGAACCCAGATGTTGGCAGCAGAAAAGCCTCTAGGGCAAGGCCCTCTTTTCCACTGGAAACTCTGGGAAGCTCCCTGGGGTCGGTCTCGGCCCTACCGTGGCGTTGATGAAGAAGGCCTGTTCGCGGTTGCCCGCAGTGATGTTGAAGGTGAGGCGTGCGTTGCAGCCGCTGTCAGCGTCGCTGGCCAGGACGTGGGCGACAAAGCTGGAGATGGGGCTGTTCTCGCTGATGGTGATGTTCATGGGCAGGTTCAGCAGCACAGGGTCATTGTCGTTGATATCCAGCACCCGGATCCCCACCAGCATCTGGGCCGATCAGAGGAGGGGGAGGGAGGGGAGGAAGAGTGAGGGACGGTGCATGAAACCAAGGAGGAGTTACCCAAGGGCAGCGTTCAGGGAGGAAGGGCACAGTTGGTTGTGGAGAAGAAAGAGAAATGGAAGAGGAAGAAAGAAGAAAAAGAACATAAAAAAGGCAAGAGGATGAAGAGGAGGCTGAGGGAAGCAGGAAAGGCAGAGGCAGAGGAGGGGCAGTGGTGGAGAAGGGAGTGACGGGCAGGAGTTGGGTGTAGGGCGGGGCTGACAGGTAGCCTCCCCAGAGAGGTGCTGGGTGGGTGAGAGATCTGTTAAGGGCCCTGGGGGCAGGCCTGGCCTGGCTTCAGGGCAGCCTGTGGCTTCTCTGGGCACAAGGGTAACAATATTTACAGGAATCTCTATGGCAAGTACAGGGGCAGCGAAATGAAGCCAGTAGGTGGGGCCCCCAGACGTACTGTGGAGCTGAGTGGTGGCACCCCCCGGTCGCGGGCACAGATGGTCAGGTTGTAGAAGGCGATGGTCTCCCGGTCCAGCTCCACATCCTTCCGGACCCGCAGCACCCCCTCCACGGGAGAGATCACAAACTCCCCTGGGTGCCATCCAGGAGAGGCTCGAGTTAGTCGGGCACTCGCAGGAGCTGCGGAGAGCCCAGGACGCCTCCGGCTTCCTCTAGCAAGCCTCACTCGCCAGGGTTGGGGGATAGCTGGGGCCTGGGTCCTCGGGTGACCCCAGCTTCAGATCCTCATGGGACCTGCAAGGGCTGGGATGTGCAGGTGGGTGGTAACAGATCACCACCATGGGTGCAGGTGGACACGAGCCACTCATACCCCATGGGCCAGGCCAATCGGCCCCCTTCCCTGTGCCACTGGCAGGCCTAGGTAAGATGGTTATGTTGAAGAAGTGGGGGCTCCTTGCTACACTAGCACCCCCTTTCTAAGCAATCATGATCAATGAAGACATCAGGCGCTTTGCAATATGTGATCTGTTCCAGATCCAATGGCTTGTGAAGAAGGATAGTGGAAAGGGCAGAGCCGAGCACAACGCAATGCTTTACTAACGGTGAACGCGGAGGCCCCGGACAGGCAGAAGGGACAGATGAGGGGCAGGGAAGCTCCCAGTGCCTTCCACTCCGTCCCCGTCTTGAGCCACAGTTGGTGCAGAGTGGGTTCCCTACGACTGTGGTGACCCTGATTTCCTTTCTCTGACGGTTCTGAAGAGCCTCACTGGTCCTGCAGCCCGAGTCCTTTTCTTGGCTGGGCTGTGGTGCCTGATATCTGAGAGTCCAGAGCAAGAACCTCGGATTCTTAGACACTGACTTGGGAGGCATCCCAGAGGCTGTCCAGTCCCTTGTGTCCTTTGCAAAATGAACTGGGGGCCCAGGGAAGGGCTACGACCTGTCTGCACGCCCACAGCAAGTGAATGACAGACCAGGCTTCAAACCCAGGGCTCTGGGTCTCAACCCTTTGCCTCCCACAGGACTCGTGTTCTTTCCAGAGCCAACCAGGGTAGGTGGAAGCCGGAGGCAGTGGGAAGGAAACCAGCGAGCAAGTGTGAACCCAGCTGGAGAGGCGAGAATGGTGGGGGCTGCGGTTCTGGCAAGAAGAAAGTTAGGGGATGCAGCAAACCATCACCATGGCACGTGTGTATCCATGTAACAAACCTTCAGGACCTGCACATGTGCCCAAGAACTTAAATAAATTAATTTTAAAAAAAGGAAAAAAAAGGCCGGGCGCGGTGGCTCAAGCCTGTAATCCCAGCACTTTGGGAGGCCGAGGCGGGTGGATCACGAGGTCAAGAGATCGAGACCATCCTGGTCAACATGGTGAAACCTCGTCTCTATTAAAAATACAAAAAATTAGCTGGGCGTGGTGGTGCGTGCCTGTAATCCCAGCTACTCAGGAGGCTGAGGCAGGAGAATTGCCTGAACCCAGGAGGCGGAGGTTGCGGTGAGCCGAGATCGCGCCATTGCACTCCAGCCTGGGCAACAAGAGCGAAACTCCGTTTCAAAAAAAAAAAAAAAAAAAAAAGTTAGGGGAACATGAGCAAGGGAGCTGGGAGAGCCTGCAGAAGAGGGGCCACCCCTCTGCAGTCCCTCAGGAAATGGAATGGGGAGAAAGTTAGTTACTTCCTTCACTTTCCCTTTGGACACTTGGGGGAAAGGGCCCAGAGTGGGGCACTGACTTGCTCTGGGACGCACAGCACAAAGCACTCAGCACACAGGGCACAGCAAGGACAGGGGCCCAGGCGCCCCCCCAGTTTTCTCTTCCTTCCTCTTCACATCCTAACTCACAATTCTCTGTCCCCAACTCCTAATCCTCTGATTTACAAGATCAGCCCCTCCCAGTTCCACCTGCAGCCGTGATTTTCCACCACCCCTTCCGCTCCCAGGCTCTTGCCAGTCCCGTAGGCTTCATCCTGCCTTGGGGCGGGGGCGGAAGCTGCATGAAGCAGGATTTCCTGAGCCTGGCACTCCAAGGTCTCCAAAGAACTGGGGATTCCCTTACTGGGGTTTCCCAGCCCTATCTCAAGCCCTGGCCGCGTGCAGGTAGAGGCCCTCCTGCTCTTCCCTCCAAAGCCAGGAGGAGACACCATCACCACTCCCTTGAAGACTCAGGAGGGCAGGCCCGGGGGCTGGGGCCTGGGCCAACCTAGTTCCCCTGTGCAAATTCTCCTCCTCAGCAGCTTGCTCTGGAGCCAGACCCTCCCCATCCCTCCACAACTTCTGGAGATGGGAGGTTGAAAGCATAGGCTTTCGATCCAGTCATATCTAGGTCTTCATCTGGACTTCATTCCTGTGTGCCCTTGGGCATGTTACTGAGCCTTGCCTTGATGTTCTCATCTGAAAAAGGGGCTAATGGAGAGATGCAACGGTGGCGTGTACCGGCGCTGGACAAAGCCTGGCCCACCTTGTGTGTACTGATTCCAAAAGAGAGCCCAGGCAGGTTTCTGAAGGAACAGGGAGCTTTCAGGGAGGATGAGAATGTGGGAAAGGGGTCCAAGGAGTGGGTGTGACCATAAAGGGCAGCTGCCAAGGCTGGGGCTGACGGGAGAGGCTCAAATGCACATGGCCCGTCTCCCAACTCTTCTTTGAGCACAGAGCTCCTCCTCAGGGCTCAGTGGGGCTGGTGAGTGCCCAGGCATCTGTCATCTGCCTTCCTATAGAAAGGAGTCCCTCCCGGCTCAGACTGCAGTGTTAGGAAGGCGACCTTTACGCTGGGGTCCTGGACACGTTCCTCCACGCAGTGGTGGGCTGTGAAACCAGCTCTCCCCAGACAGCTGTGCTGACTGCAGCATCTGTCAACTTTTCAGTGACCAACATGAACCCCGAGGTGGGCGGAGAGGCGGGAGATGGATGTCGTGACCCATGTCGGCAGCACTGCCAGGCCCTCCTCACCTCTCTGGGCCTTCGCTGATCATTTCTGAGATGGGGGTGGTGCTCTGTGACCCCAGCATTATCTTTGGGATCTAAATGTCTCCTCTTCCTTCCTTGGGGGAGGAAGCCTCCCACCCAGGTCAGCCTTAGGAAACTCCTAGGCCGCACTCACTCCTTTGGGGGTCTGCCTCTTAGTCTGCCAGGACTCCCCACAAGGTCCCAAATTCCCAAGGCTGACCCCAATCACGTGTGGATTTAACCTGGAGTGTTGCTTGTGACTTAAAGGCTATGGCACAGAGGTCTGCATTGTGCTGGGACACAGGTATGTGCTCTGTGCCTTGAGGCTGGGGTGCAGAGCAGACCCCTCATGGGGAGGGGGTTCAGCTGCCTGCCCAGCACCTGCCTCTGCCAGGTGCTGCATCCTCCTGGACTCCAGGGACTCCCATAAAATTACAAAACCTCTGTGTTTGTGAAAACAGCAGAAGAAAAAGGCCCTTGCTCTGCTGCTTTCTAAAGGGGAAGGCCAGGTGCTTGGCCAGAGAGGAGACTTTGGGACACAAGAGGGTGGCATGTCCGAACAGAGTGACCCACTACAAGCTCTGGAAAGCAGGGGCTCTAATTTGGGCCCTCCAAAAATAGGTTGTGGTTTTTCTTTTTTTCCCTCCAGCCTGTTAATTGCAAGTGAGCCTTGGGTTCACTGCTGAATCTTCCTACCGCTCTACTTCCTCTCCTGCCTTTAAATACCTCTATGCTGACAGCTCCTCCCAAATACCCGTCTCCAGCCCAGATCTCTCTCCTGAACTCCTGGCTTGTATACATAACATCTGAAACCGACCCTCCTTTCTCTCCTCGCCCCCCTGCTGCAGTCCTCCGTCTGTCAGTGGCAACGCCACTATCTCTTCAGCCGCTCACCCCAAAACCTTGACTTTTTCTCACATCCCACAGCCGATCAGCAAGTCCTACTGGCTTCACCTCTGAATTACGCCAGAGCTGGTCACCTCTTTCCACCTGTGATGCCACCACCCTGTCCCGGCTACCCCATTGCTAGGAACAGGCTCCCACCTAGCTCCCTCTTCCCATTCTTCACTCCTACAGTCTGTTCTGAGCACAGGAATCAGCATGCTCCTGCTGAAACCTAAGTCAAGATGAGGGTGGTGCTCAGGGACCCCACCATTATCTTTGGGCTATAAACGTCTACTCCTCTCCCTTTCTCAGGGGAGGAAGCCTCCCACCCAGGTCAGCCTGAGGAATCTCCTAGGCCTCTCCCACTCCTTTGGGGGCCTGACTCTTAGTCTGCTGGAGCTCCTCCACAAGGTCCCAAATTCCCAAGGCTGATCCCAATCACATGTGGATTTAACCCGGGAAGTGCTGCTTGTGACTTAAAGGCTATGGCACGGAGGTCTGCATCGTGCCGGGCACAATGTCTCTCCTCTGCTCAAAGCCTTCTTAGGGTTCCCACCTCAGAGCGAAAGCCACACCCTCATCCTGGCCCTCAAAGGCCCGGCAACATCTGGCCCCATGACCTCTCTGGTCTCATTTCTTCCTGCTCTTCCCTTTGCTCAACTTCTCCCAGGCCACAGAGCTTTCTGCTTCTCTGTGAACACCCCAAGCACGCTCTGACCTCAGGGCCTCTGCACTGGCTGCTTCCTCTCCCCGGAATGCTCTTCCCCAGATGTCACTTGACCCCCCTCTGCCAACCTACAATCGCTGCCTTCACCCTGGCACTCCCCATCGTCTGGCTGGGTTTTATTTTTCTCCATAGCCCTTAGCACCTCCTAGTATACTAAGTAATCTACTTAGTCAGTTGGGTCATTCTCGAGTCTTGCAACTGGAACATATGTTCTTTAGCACAGGGATCTGCATCTGTTTGGTATCCCCAGCTCTTGGAAAATGACCTGCACGCTGGAGGGACGCAAGAAATATGTACTGCACGATCAATCAGAAAATCGGGATGTTTCACAAAGATTTGGATTTCTGCTTTTCTGTTCAAAATGGGCCCAGGCACTCCCAGGCCTGCATCTGGACATAGCTACAACTGGCAGGAGCCGAGCTGAGGTTGCACAGTCCCCATTGCTCCTGATTCTTTCCTATGCCGTCTCCTACACGGGCTCCTTGCCTGACCCTAGCTGGCCTTGGGTCTGGGGTCTCCTCTATAGGAATGAGTGAAAATGGACTTGAGAAGTTGCCCTCAAGGCCAGGGCAAGCTCTGCTCTTCACCCCAGCAGAGGGCGGTTAACGGGTGACCACGAGATGCGTAGAGCAAGCCGGGCGCTCCGTTGGTGTGTGGGTTTGGGGTCCTGAGGGCGGGGACTGTGCTCTGCACGCACTGTAAGGATGTACTTCCTTTGTCTGCTCTGGGGCCCTTCCTCTGGGCATGACACAGGACATTTTTAAATCATGTTCTTAAAGAGGTCTGTGTCCCTCCAAGTCTACCACCTCTTGTTCCCAGATTTCACAGTGTTCTAATCACATCTCTGGGAAGAAAGGGTGGGAGAAGATTATTTCCATCATTGCTAGGGATGGGGAAACTGAGGTCCAGAGAGGACAGAATCACGTAACGGTGGGGCCAAATGCCTCGAGACTCCCCTTCTTATCTTGCCCCAAGTTGGTGGGCAGGTGAGGCCCTGTAGGTGGTATGACCACCACAAGCCCCACTCACCCAGAGGGTCTCCGTCCACGATGCTGTACTCCACCTGCCCGTTGGGGCCTGAGTCCTGGTCATGGGCCAGGAAGGTCCATACTCTGGGCCCTGGCTGGCCCTCGGTGACTTCAAATGGTCCCTCATAGTCCCGGGGGAAGGTAGGCACATTGTCGTTGATGTCATTCACATTCACAAGCACCTGAGACGGTGGGAAAAGCTTAGCCAGCTTTGTGCTGGGTCCATCACTTGCTGGGTTCCTTTCAATGTGAAACAGATCTGATAATCCTGCCTCATGCGGCCCATGGAGGAATCATATGGGATGTCGAATATGGGCGGGCCTTTTAAGCTATGCATGTCGGTGAGTTATTATCATTGTCAAAGCCTTTCAGGGGCACAATAATCATATTAATAATAATGCTATTGACCACACATGGTGGTTCACATCTGTAATCTCAGCACTTTGGGAGACTGAGGCAGAGCCAGCCTGGCCAGTATAGCAAGACACTACCTCTACAAAAAATAAAATAGTAATACATTAGCTGGGTGTGGTGGTGCATGCCTATAGTCCCAGCTACTTGGGAGGCTGAGGTGGGAGGACTGCTCTCGAGTCCAGGAGGTCGAGTCTACAGTGAGCTGTGATTAAGCCATTGCACTCCAACCTGGATGATGGAGTAAAAACCTGTCTCAAAAATAATAATTACGGTACTGCTATAAACTTGCACTTGTTGCTGCACTGTGATTGTCTTACATGGTCTCATTTGCTCCTCCCACTCCTTAAAACACAGTTTGTGTTGTCCTTCTTTCACAGATGAGGAGATGGAAGCTTAGGGAGGTTAACTGACTTGCTCAGGGTCACACAGCTAGAAAGTGGAAGCAGGGACTTGAAACCCAGAGGTCATGCTTTTCCCGTGAAGGAGAGGAGGGCAGGTGTTGCCAGAATCTGTCTGATAGATACAGCCACACAGAGAGGTTCAGTGATCTTCTTAATATCACACAGCAAGTTTCAGTGAGTTGCTGAGATTAGGACAGGGGTCTTGGATTTAGGCATTTCCCTTAGACAGTCTTCCCCTAACCCCTTCCCCCATTGGAACTTTCCGGGTCCTATCCTTCCCCCACCTCCAAGCCCAAATTGGGGCTGTGTCCCATGCACCCACCGTGGTGGTAGAGGTGAGGCGGCGGGATAAGATGGGGCACTGGTCTGTGGCGGTGACGATCAGGGTGTAGCGGCCGTGGCTGATCTCGTAGTCCAGCTCCTTGGTGGCACTGATGACACCCTAGGGACACATGGAAGGGACAAGGATGGATCTAGGGGTGGTGGGTCTGGGGCACCCTCTGACTGATCTGGGAAGTAGGCCCTGACATTGGAGCCATAATGGGGAACCCCTGCTACCCCTTAGCCCAGGATCCATTCTACCAAACTTTTCATCCTCCCACACTGAATGCCCCCACCATTTCCCCTAGACTGCATCTTTGCTTCATTCCCCCCAGGGTGTCACTGAGCTCCTCGCCAATCCCTGGAGAGGCTTCGTCCCTTGTCCTGATCCTGCCATCAGCTGCTGACCATGTATCTGTCGATGTGGAAGGTGTTGATGATGTTGCCTGCGATGATGGCATAGGTGACTGTGCCATTGGGCCCCTCGTCCAGATCCAGTGCCTGGATGGTGATGAGGCTGGTGTTGAGCGTGTCTGGGCCCTCATCCAGCAGCACCTCATAGTGGGGCTGCCGAAACACAGGCGCATTATCATTCTCATCCACAATGGTCACGTACACGTGCGTGGTGGCCTGTGGAAAAGAGTGGGGCAGGTCCTTGGTTAGGTGGCCAGAAGGATTGAGGTGGATCCAGATGGCTGCTCTCCCGGGCCGAACTCACTCCATGTGACTCACACAGGAAGGCCAAGGGAGAAGAAAGCAGCAGGGAGGTCACAGGCTGGTAGAGGAGGAAAGCTCAAAAGCTGCACCAAGAGCCAAGCAAGGTAGCTGCTCTGTCCAAGACGGCACTCGCACCACCACTCCTATGTCTGTGTTCACAGCAGACATCCCTAATCAATCACAGAACTGCTGAGGCAAGATGCAAACTTGGGATCCTTGTTAGCACAGTGGTCTAATGATTAAGACTGGCATATGGGATGAACTCTGGTAGTCACCCCAGCCCAGACAGAGCTTTACCAGGGCCAGCGACTTATTGAGCCTAGATGTCCCGTTAGACTACAAGAGGGAAGAATGTGAGGCATTTGGCCCAATGCCATATTTAAGCTTCATCTATTGTTCATGTAAGTGAAAGAAATACGTATCTTCCGCATTTTCAAAAGGAGGACATTGGGTTTGTGGCAATTTTGTGGGCAGAATTTGCTGACCTGTGGAAAAGAAGACTCACAGAACATAACTTCATTGCAAGAACAGCTTCTTCTACAACATGCTCTCCTGTGATCGGCCATCTCTGCCAATGCTTGGGTCATTTGAACCACAAGTAATATTCAGCCAATCAGAACTCAGCAATCAGTGCTCAAGAACCAACTAGAAATGGTTCTCGCCCCTTTCCCTGCCTTTCTCCACCGAAGATGTCCCCTAGGGACTGACTGCCTTACCCAGGCTCTCTCGCTATCCAGCTTCCTGACGGCCTTGGCCAGTGGGAGGCCCTGGCAGAAGATGAAAGCGGGGAGGAGAAAGAGGCGGGGGTGTTTCTTCCACACTCCCTCCATTCCTCACTGTGGTTCTGCCCATGGCTGTGTTTCTCCTGCTTCAAGGCGGGGGTCCCCCTTTCATAGCACCAGCCTTCACTGGGCTCCAGAACATTGCTTCCTCTTCTTTCCTTTTGGACACGTGAGTGGTAGTGGCTTCCTGTGGTTGGATGCTAGTCTCTGGGTGCTTCACCAGCCCTCCTAAACAGTCGCTGTATTAAACTATCTTCAGTTGAACCGTTTCTGAGTGTGCTATCTGTTTCCTGCCAGGACCCTAAATGATACACACCATAATGAGTGACTAATATAAAATAATAAGGTGATAATCACTGCAAAGATGTCTAGGTAGAAAGAATGTGACTAGGCCATTGCCAGGCCAGAGAACAGAAAGCAGGTGGTACAAACAGCTCAATGTAGGCAATTCACACATAATTTTTTCCTTGGGACTGGCCGTCTCTGGAACTACCAATGGAAGGATGGGCAGATGGGCTGGGGATCTGGACCCAAGAAGGCTGCCCCTGCCCCTGAGGAGGCAATGATTCCTCCGAGATGCAGCTCTGGATCTTGGGGGTGGCAGGCATTGGGTGTTTGCTGAAATGGTTTCCAAGCAGGTAGGGATGGCAACCTTGAAAAGGAGCTGTGACCTTGGGCAGGTCACATCCCCTCTCTGGACCTTTTCTGTCTATTAATAAAGGACGGACCTGGCTTGATTTCTAAATTTGTTTCTAGCTCAGATGTTGTGAGTTTCTGGTCTGGTGTAATCAGCTAAGTGGACTGAAGCCCACCATTAGGGAAGCATTCCTTTGGGTTGCAGGGTCTCAATGAATCTTAACAAGCTCACAAGGAGGAAAACACATTTAGCATTTCTCAAACTTTCCCACCAGAATGGAGAGGGAACTTGCACATTCTGAGGATTGCCCTAAATGGTTTGCCTCCAGAATGAAATATCTTTGCAATCTCTCATGTTGTTTTTGAAAGCTCATGTGGATTTTGCATCTTTCTCCATTGCGTGTTTGTGCTTGTTTTCATTAAAAATAGCAGTGGAGGCCCCAAATGTTCAAATAAAGATGACTGTCAAGGAAGGCCACCATGTCCATCTGTGGCTCTGCAGGGCCTGGGGATAGCTGTGAGTACTCACGAATGGTGAGGGCCCAGCCTTTAGCCCTCCTGAGACTCTTTACCTGCTGGCAAGAGTACAAGAGGGCCACCTTGCAGGAAAGGGACTGAATTTCAGCCTCCCTGTTGGAGAGGGAGTGCTGATATTTCTCGCTTTCCCAAACTCACCCCCAAGACCCACTGGAAGTGGGTCCAACCATTGTGCAGGCTGCAGGGGCTGGGAGTGGAGGGGTTGAACAGAAAAGGTCCAGAGAGGGGATGTGACCTGCCCAAGGTCACAGCTCCTTTTCAAGGTTGCCATTCCTACCTGCTTGGAAACCATTTCAGCAAACACCCAATGCCTGCCACCCCCAAGATCCAGAGCTGCATCTCGGAGGAATCATTGCCTCCCCAGGGGCAGGGACAGCCTTCTTGGGTCCAGATCCCCAGCCCATCTGCCCATCCTTCCATTGGTAGCTCCAGAGACGGCCAGTCCCAAGGAAAAAATTATGTGAGAGCTCTAATGCCTTAGAGCTCTCCTGCTCTGAGACCAGGTCTGGGCTTGGTGAGGGAAGGTGGGTTTGAATTTCTCTGGTCTCTGGAGGGAGGAGAAAGTCTGTGCTCCACAGGCCCTTTCAGCTGAGCTATTCCTGTCTTGCCTGGTGTTGAGGAAACAGTGGTTGAGGTTTCTGGATCATGGCCCTTGGGCAATGCCTGTGTCTCTCCCTGATGCAACCCCAGGAGGCTCAGTAGAGAGCAGAATGGTGGGGAGAACGGAGGTGGAAAGGAGGAGGGAACCAGCCCCCTGGGGGAAGAGGTTGGCAGGGCAGTTGCTTCCCTCTCTCTAATTCTAGGCTCTCCTCGGCTGCTAGGCCCTGGGGCACAGGGAGTCTGGTTTCAAGGGTGGCCTGGGCAAGGCCAGTCCAAGAAGGGTTAAGACAGGGCAGTGTTCTAGGGTCTCGCTCTTAAGGGACTCCACCTCACTTCTGCTAGAGGATGTCAGGGTGAGAAGGGCCCAGTGTCCACTTTATCTCAGTTGGCTTTGTGGCTCCCCTGGTAGAAGAGAGCTCACACTGTGCCAGCAGGAAGGGCCCTGGGCTGCTTCCCGAGGTGGGGTCACAAGCCCAGGGGCATGCTCAAGAACCAGGGTTATGTCCTGGCAACCTCTGGGGCTCCCATCCTGGGGGAGTTCCCTGGCTTCAGGAGGGCTGGGCCTGCACAAGGTCACTTAGTAATAACATGATGCATCAGCCGTCCTCTGTTGTAGCCTTCCCTGCCCTGAGAGCCAGGGCTAAGGGCCGCCAGAGAGCCCATGACTTGGATCAGGCCACCCACAGGCCCCCAGAACTCCTGGCTCCCATTCAGCCTTCCCATTCAGTTCCTGACCCAGTCTGACTCTGGCTGTCCTCTGCTCCTCAGCCTAGGAGTCACCTACAAACCCAAGACCCCTAAAGGTCCAGAAAAACCACTGGAAGTTTCAGCTAGAATGGGGTAAACTGGGTAAAACGGCTGTGCTCTCCCACTCCTGCAATCCCTGGTCCTGGCCATGATCACCTCCGCTCCTCCACCACACTCATTCATTGGTTTGTCCATTCAGATAAAGGGCAATAAACCCCTTCTCCATGCCGAGCTTTGTGCTAGGGACTCAGAAACATCAGGGAGAGGCTTGGAGGGCAGAAAAGCCGGAAGAACCACCAACTAGTTGATTATCTCAGGCTGGAGGTGGTAGCCAAAGGGGGTGTGGACACTAAGGATTTGTGGGGGAAAAGGAAGGGTCGGGACATTTTGTGAAGTGGGACAACCTGAGCTGAGCCCTGAGGGATGAGAAGAATTTGGGGAGGAGAGAGACTTCCCAGTGGTGCCAGCAGTGCTGGGTGCGGGCGCAAGAGCAGAGGCACTAGACGTGAGGGTGCATCAGAGTAACCTACAGATATCCAGGCACTAGAAGGGAGGGCCCGTGCATAGGCAGGTGGACAGCTGAGGCCTCTGCAGGACAGGAACTTGCAGGATACGCTGTGGGGCATCCCACAAGGTGTTGCCTGCATACCTGTGTGTGTCCTGGAGCAGTGATGTGCTGATCCTGGTGTGTAGTCCTGCACCTATTATGTGTCTGTGTGCACGCACTCAAGATGCCCCAGGCTCTGAATCTACAGTTAAACTGGCTCCAACCTGCCTAGCTCTTCACGATGTCAGATTTCATCCACTCACTCATTCCACAACTGGGAGTGCCTACCACATACCAAGCCCTGATCTGGCTGGAGGATGTAGCGTACGAGTCTCTGTCCCCTGACCACTCAAAGGCTGGTGGGTGAGGGCAGATGCAAGCCAAGTCTTTCACGCTGTTAGAGGGCAATCGACTTAGGCTGCGCAGCAGTAGTAATCTTCTCTCTGGGCTTGAAACTGCCAATCAAGTAGAGCTGACTCACTGGGACGCACACTGGCTCTCCACCCACGAGGCTGGCCTTCGGGAAGCCCCTCCCACGGGGCCCTCGGAGAGGCAGTTCCCCCCACGGCCTCCCGGGGGCGCTGCGGGGCGGCCTTGGAGTGCGGCGCTGGGGCCGCCCACCACGCTCACTCGCTCGCACTCACTCGCGGGAGGCTTCCCCGCGCCGGCTGTGTCCCGCCCGCTCCCCGGCACCAGAAGTTCCCCTGTGAGTCTGACGGCGATATGGGCGTCCCCACGGCCCCGGAGGCCGGCAGCTGCCGCTGGCGCTGGGGATCCCTGCTCTTTGCTCTCTTCCTGGCCGCGTCCCGAGGTAAGGTTGGGGAGGCGGGGCGCTGGGGAAGAGCTGAGAGAAGACAGCAGACCAGGGTGGGAACTGCGGGATGGGAGCGTCCTGGGAGCCCTCTCAGCCTGCTCGGCTGTGCACCCCACTCCACCCACCGCCCAGGGGCTGCTGGGACCCCTGGCCAGGGCGCAGTGGCAACTGTGCCAAGTGCCCCAGCTAGGCATTGGGCACACCTGCATGCTCTGACAGCTGCCCAAGTGGCAGGCAAGGCTGTACCCTGAGGGCTGCCTGTCCAACCCTTCCCTGCGCAGAGAACCCTGGAGCACAGGTAGCTTCTGCAGAGAAGGAGAGGCACAGGGTAGGGGAGGTCAGTGTGTTCTAGTGGATGTCACTAGCTTTTGACAGCCGGCATCCAGACTGACTCTCAAGTCTCAGGGGTCCAGCGTCTCAGAGCACACAGAGGGTGTGGTATGCTCAGGCAGTGCCCCATGCCCTAGCGATGCCCCTGGCTGAGCCTTGGCGAGCACTGGTCACAGTGAGTCGACTTTCAGACACAGGCAGAACTGCCCACCTGGTCCCTGTTCTAAGGGTCTGATGGCCCAGGAATAAGCGGTCAGCTGATTCCTGCCATCCTAGCAAGGCTGCCACTCAGGGGCCAGAGTGGGGCACTGAAGACGATGTGGGACACTCCAGCTCAGCCACGAGCCCCTTCTGGGTCCCTGGATAACTTATGGCATCTCTCTGGCCTCAGTTTCCTTGGCTCAAACACAGAAACCCACATAGGGAAGCACCACTTTCTCTAACCAAAGTCCGGGTTCTCATGTCAGCATGTTCATATATAGTATCCTGGCCTGAACACGGGGACGCCCGGGCTGGGGGCAGAGGCCCTGGTACCCATGGCCTGGTGCCTGGTTCTTGCCTGCCCAGAGCTGAAGAGGCTGGATCTCTTCAAAGAGCCTGTGGAACCAAACTTTATGGGGAGGACCCAGGGAAAGTATGAGTCATGCAGGGACTCAGAAGGAGGCAGGAGGGAGGTGGAGGGCTTGGCAGAGGGACCCAATGGGTGGGATGGAAGAGGAGGAGAAGGGGATGGGATAAGAGGATAAGAGGGAGAGGAGGAGGCATTCAGCCTCTGGAAGATACCTCAAACAACCTGGGTGACCACAGGCTGCAGGCTCTCTCAGCACCGGGGGGCTGGCCTGGGCCTCTGAGGAGGAGGAGGGCTCCACATCCCACAGACACAGCTGCCTAAGCCCCAGGGTGATGGTCCTCAAGGTGACAGCCAGAGGGAAGTGGAGAAAGGGAGGTGAGTGGGTAGTCTTAGCACCAAGGCCATGGCTAAAGGCAGGGCATGGCTTCCAGAAGGAGCAGGGGATGGAGGCAGGCAGGCCAGCCAGCATCCCACCTGTCATGGGCCACCTGCCCTGTCCTGCCCTTTCAGGTGATCCTGTGAGGCCCATCCTGCTTTCTTGCTCACTTCCTGCCCTCACTTGGCTGGGTTACCCTCTGTTCAGCAGCCCCAATTTGGGAAACAGTTCCAGAGAACCAGGGCACAGGAACCCAGCTTGCAGAGCACCCAGTAGCAGAAAGGCCACGAGAGGAGCTCAGGACGCTTCCCCCTATATTGCTTACATGGCCAGGGGCCTTTACTCCCAGAGGTCTTGGCTACTCAAACAGCATGGTACACCAAAGGGCCATCTCTTCCTGGGCCCAGCATAGGGAGATGAGTTAGGCTTGATGCAGCTTTCCATGGAAAGGAGCCAGAAGCATTTGAATTGCTCTGGGACTCAGTATTCTGAACTGTCATATGGACACACTATAATCAATATTCACCCAACTCCCTAGGACAGTGGGCACCGAGGGAGAGAGCAGAGGGGAGGCCTGGTGGCAGGTGTGGTCAGCAGGATCTGTACGCTGAGATCGCTCAACAGCCTGCCGAGGTGCTAGGTTGCCCTGGGTGTGACTGCGCAAGGTCAAAGTCTTTATGTCTGGGAAGGTGAGATAGAGTGGCTGGGGCCAGCCTGTTCTCCAGTTCTTGGGGTTGGGCCAGCTCTAAGGAGAATGGTAGTGATGAATGTGGTGTTCAGAAGTCCAGGAAACACCGAAGATACCCCTTTCCTGGGCCTGAGTCAGGGTGAGATGGGAGGAGGGGAACACTTATGGACCAGGACCCAGCAGACCTCAAGGGTGGCAGAGCCTCTTCTTCCCCACAGATATTCCCAGGACCTGTGGCAAGCACTGTCCTGGCCCTGTCCTCACAGGCTGATTCAGGAGTCCCAACCTCTGGGACTAGCACATTCAAGTTCACTGGGGTGCGCTGGGGCTAGAGATGAGAGACCCATCTTCCCCTTGACAGCAAACCAGGCTGCAGGGTCTTGTTGAGCAACTCGGTGGTGCAAACCTCTGACACAGCAATGGTCAGCTCTTAGGAAATCCACAACCCACTGCCCAGAGGCTCCAGAGTAGAGAGGAACAGCCTCGAGGCCAGTCCCTGGCATGAGGGGGCATCTACCCAATGCCAGGGGATACCAAGGGCCAGCAATACTGGGAGCCCCTTGCTGAGCCATACTGGTTGTTCGTGTTTCCTCCCAAGCAGGGCAAAGGTTCTGCTGGGGTCTGCCCTTCCTGGGAGAGGGTGGTCCAGGCAGGAGTGTGCTGCTGAGAAGCACAAGGGGCCACCTCCCTATCCGCACACAGTGTATGGGGTCTTAGGCTTGAGCAGATGAAAGGAAGAAAGAGGTCCTCAAGGAGGACCTGCTGGCAGTGACTGAGCCCCACATACCAAGCTTGAGGCCCCAGGCTTTAGCCAACCAATGATCCAGGGTCAGTCTGGTCTCCCAGGGGAGGGTGAGCCAGGGATCAGCACTGTGGTTTCCAGCAGTCCCATGGATGCCCTTAGCAGCAGTCCTGGTATGCCTGTGTACGGCCAAGCCAGGAACCTAAACGCCAGGGCTTCCGTACAGCCCCCTGCTTAACTCTTGGGCTTTGCGAGTCACTCAGACCAAGGTTCAAATCCCAAGACACCCATTTACTGCACTGTGACATTGGACAAGTTATTCCGTATCCCTGAGAAAGTTCCCCTATCTCTAAAATAGGGATGAAGACACCACCTCCCTTGAAGGGCCGCTGTGAAGAGCCAACGAATGAACACTGAGCACCTGCTGCTCGTGGATACTGTGTAACATTATGGTATTTCGTGGCTTCTGCAGGCCACATGCCACTGGCTTTCTATCTAAGTTCTCTGCTGCCTATGAGGCCTTATGGAGTGCCCAGGGCCTGGGAAGAGATTGGTGAGCTTCACTGCGAGTAGATTCTCCTAAGCCTGGAGTGTGAAGGGTGCATGGGCTAGATCCAGCTACCTGTGAGCTCCTATAAGCCCTCATAGTCTGCAATGCCCATGGAGGCGCCTGCAGGTTCTCCTCTTAAAGTCGTCCAGAGACAGGGACATTGCAACTTGAAGGCAAGCCTGATCTTGGGTTTGCTTATCTTGGTGGGATCTTCCTTACATCTGATCTTTTTATATCCAGTCCATTCACTTTGGCTGGCCATCCCTAAAGGCAAAGAAAAAGCATCCCCAGTGAGGTTGCTCTGCTACTTAGCAAGCCAAGCAAGCCCATTCCCTTAACCTTTCTCTGCTGTTCACTCATCATGGGAACACAGACACACACTTCCCCTTTGTCTGTGCAATGGACAGGTTGGGTGACATGGTCTCAGCGAGGCTGACCACCCCCCTCTGAAGGGTAATTCCATGACGGTGTTTCCCGAGCTTCAGTCATTTGCTTAATACCTTTGTGATTTCTGCAGTGTCTGCCTTTCATCGTATTTACTTTTTTTTTTTTCTTTAAATCTATTCATTCTTTTATTTGAGTATGTAGATTTTTAAAAGGAAACTTTATATTGCTGTCATTAGTGGAAAGCCAGTATCACTTGTCATAAATAGAACAAAAGCATAAAAGTACGTAACAGGAAATCCATATAAGGGTATTAAATTCTAGTTGGAAACTTTAGCCTGGGGAAGCTCTGAGTCTGAAAATTGCTGCTGTCCCTTGCAAAAAACTAAACTAAAATAAAATTTAAAAAGAAAAGGAGATTAGAGTAAGTGAGAAATGTTTTAGAGACGTATTAGCATCAAACTGGGACTTTCTCTTTGATGTGATCAGGACTGAAAGACTTGAAAAGAGAATAACCCCTTCTATATATGATTCAGTGTTACGTAATATAAAACCAAAAGTAAAACTATCTTTGTGACAGACGTGGCCAGGTAAGCTGGGCTTTCATTGGTCATGACATCTGTCCACCTTCAGGAAGGAGGTGGGGCCTCCAGTCAGTCCTCAGCTACCTCTAATTTCTAGAAAGGAGTCAGATGGCACCAGACCTCTGGAGGCTAACTACCAGGGTTCAAATCCTGGCACCATCACTTATTAGTTGTGAGGCTTTGGGCAAGCTACTAATCTCTCTGTGCTTCTATTTTCTCATCTGAAAAATGGAGATGATAGTAGTACCTACCTCATAGGGTGGAAGGATTACATAAACTAATCCATGTGAAAGTGTTCAGAATGAGGTCGGGCATGGTGGCTTATGCCTGTAAATCCCAGCACTTTGGGAGGCTGAGGTGGGAGGATCTCTTGAAGCCAGGAGTTTCTAGCCAGGAGACCAGCCTGGACAACATAACGAGACCCCATTGCTACAAAAAATTTAAAAATTACCTGGGCATGGTGGCCTGTGTTTATAGTCCCAGCTAGTTGGGAGGCAGGGGTGGGAGGATGCGAGGATCGCTTCAGCCCAGGAGTTCGAGGTTACAGTGTGCTGTGATCTCACTGCCACTGCATTCCAACCTGGGTGAAGAACAAATCCTATCTTTCTAAAGAAACGCAACCAAACAGCTGGGCATGGTGGCTCACACCTGTAATCCCAGCACTTGGGGAGACTGAGGCGGGTGGATCACATGAGGTCAGGGGTTCAAGACCAGCCTGGCCAACATGGTGAAACCCCATCTCTACTAAAAATACGAAAATTAGCCGGGCGTG